TGTCCGGGTAAAGTTGTTGTTCCATCTTCGTTTGTTACTCCCGGGTTAACAGTATTTTGAAGTACGTTTCTAATATTTAATAAATAATTAAACGGTGCTTAAAATTGTGATTCTGCATTAACTAAAAGTTACTTCGCCCATTACATTCAATTTCTAACCTTATGTTGAACACTATTATTGAAAATAGTATTTTTTACCTTGAAAAATGTGTTGATTTCACAAATAACAAAGTCAAAACTATTTTAAGAAGCTAAAGAAAAACCAAACAATTTCAGTTCAATGAATTGACATAATTTGCTCAATTTTTTCGATCGATCGATTTGTTTTAGCATTAGCACAAATCACTTATTATAAAATCCCAAACCACACACAGTATTGCCAATAATTGCAATTATTATTGATCGCTCCGTATTTATTCGTTTGATCTATTTACTTTGCTGTGTTGCCTTGCTAAAATATTTCATAATTCAAAACAGATTTTTATTACATTACATCTGGTTTATAGATAGTTTCTTTAAAAATAACTTACAGATCGGATATATTGAAAAAATATCTTGTAGAAATCACCAGTGAAGAAAATATTTTCCAAAGAGCTTGTTTTCGAAAGAATATACCGTTTTATTTTGCAAGTCTGTAGTAAGTTGTTGATGAAAATTTTTGAACAATAAAAGAGAATATTTTACATGAAAAAATACATCTATATTTATTATTTATTTATCGTATGGCTATACATGCAAGAAAACCAGACTCTTAAACAGACATAAAGTAAACTACAATGTAAATGAAAACATTACAATGTAAATATAAAAAAAAACAAGTATATGACAAAAAGACAACATAAAAAAGGTATTTACGAACACTACATATGTAGGTAGTATGTTACGAACACTACATACATGTAGATGCCCTATCCATTCCAAAGCTGCTGGAGAAACCTCCACCATAAGCGCGTAGGTTGCACTCTCTAGTTATGTGGTGGATGGTTTGGTGAGTGGATCCGCAATCGCATTCTGGGGAAGGTATTTTACCCCACTTATAAAGGGAATCCGCAATCCGCACATCTTCCATGGCCAGAGCGTATTCTACTCAAAGTTGATCATGTTTTCCGGTTTAGATCGGTACCCGGTATCTGGCAATAGTTATTTTCTTTTTTTTTAAGTCTAAATAAATAAAACGAAGTCATTTATAACTGAAGAACGACTGGACCGATTTTAATGATCTCTGATTTGTTTAGATTCGTTTCTGTCCCGAATAGTAGATTAACTATTAAAATATCGAAAAAATGCACAGAAAATTAGCTTATTTGTAATAATTAATGTCAACGACAAATCAGTGACATACTAAGTAGATATTATAGAATGAAAATTCAACGGAAAATAGTATATTCAAAACTAGAAAGATATTCAAATATACAGAAAATACTTGAATGGGAATGTAAAGAAAATACCTATAGAGAACAAATGACAGCAACAGTCAAATCGATTGGTCCCAATCATTCCAGATCATTCGTATCATATGCTTTTCTATATATGCACAGCTATTCTGTCAATAATAACGTGGCTAAATTTATTCCGTATAAAAGCTTCATTCAGAACCTCCAAATGAGTAGATAAATTACTGGTTTCAATTAGTGTAGAAATTTGTTCCTCTAATTTCAATGTAATTTCATAACATCAAAATTAGTGGCAGTAATTTTCAATTAGTAGAAAAATTAACTAACCGTTAAACTTCATTCAAAACTTCGCAATTAGTGGAATAAATTAGTGATTTCAATTAGCGTAGAAGTTTGTTCCTTTAATTTCATTGTAAACATTCATAACGTCAAAATTAGTGGTTAGGTTGACATTAGTGGTTAGGTTGACATTAGTGGTTAGGTTGACATTTTCAGTTAGTAGAAAAAGTTATCAAACTTTTAACTTTTCCACTAAGGATATTTCAAAATTTGCGAAAAATGTAATTTTGGCCTTTGATTATCTTCCGTCCAGAGAAGTTGTGGTTAGATATCAAAAGTTGGTTGTTTTATAAGGTTATATGTTATAAGGATTATAAGGATTGTTTTATAAACATTAGGCTTTCTCTATGGATACAGCTGACTAACGCAAGCTGTTGCTAGGATATTCTATTAATTTTAATTGTGTTTATTAAATATTGTGAATGATCGTAAACTAAAAAGTTTATAGTGTAATTGAAACCACTAATTTATTCCAGAAGACTAATTAACCCGTGAAGAGAAATATGGTTAGAAATCAAAAGTTTATTGTTTTATAAGCTAATTATTAGGCTTTCTCTATGGATATAACTGACCGCCAGCTGTTATTCTATTATTTTTAATTGTATTTTTTGTAAGGTTTTATTCCACAAACTCAAAAGTATTTTTTTTTCGATATCCAACTATTTGGTACACACACACTGTACAATAATATTTGCAGTGAAGTTGATGATTACTTTATAATCTTAATAAATAATAATATTATACGGTACAAAATGTTTACGATCTTTTTTTAGTAGTTATAAATTATCCGTTAGTACTGACCTTTCATTTCAATGAAAACATAATTTTCTCTGAACAAATTTTTAGGAAATTATACCGACCGTTTTTCAATTTTCATTTTATTCTCTCTCTTTGGAATGTCAACTGCATCGTTCGTTTAGTTGGAAATGATGCGACGGCGACGAGTGCAGAATATTTCAACGATTAATAATCGCGTGTACAGGGTTAATATAATTCTGTTCCTGTGAGTAATACTAATTTGCGAAAATATGCAGAAAAATGTTTGAAAACAATTCTGCATATTGCAATATTTTTATTTTACGATAATAAAATTTGAAATATGAAATATTTTGAATTCGTGGGTCTATTAGATCTCAAAATGATCTATACAATTTGCTAAAATTTTTGGCTTTTCTTCAGCTTCTTGAAAATTGAAAAGTTTTGACTTCATTATTTGTGAATTCGACATATTTTTCAATGTAAATAATTACTATATTTCAATACAACTATATGACTTGGCAATTGCACGATATGATATTCTATACTAATTAAAAAACTTATTTATAAATCTATTAATATATTTATAAATCTATTATTATAATTATGGAGCTGTGCAATTGCCCAAGTCATTATAATTATTACAGAAATAAAGATGACTAGATACTAACAATTTATAACGAAATTGTTGAATAGGTGCTTAAAGAGAGACTAAATAAAATAAACTGACTTGGTTTTACATGAGATCTCACAACTTTTTATAGTTAAAGAATTGTGTTGCGGGACTTGGTATTTTTTTTACATTCTATGTTGTTGATGGGATTATAAATTTTCGGGGTACTCCAAGAAAGACGTGATAGAGAAAGCATGTATGGATGGACCTAGTACTCTCTATGAGTCCTGCGTTGTCTGCGGTATTTATGATAATAATTAATGAGGATGATAATAGACAGAGAGCTGGCTACATAAAAAACCTTATCATCGTTACATGGCCAATTTTTTTTTAGGAAGTATCCTTTTGTGTTGCCATTATGAAATAGTCATGTCTGCCAGCGCGATCCCGTGGCTTAAAGTGGGGGGCTTTATCATTAAGAAACGTGAAAAATTGTTGGCAGACATTTTTCTCGTGGCTAAAATGCCGGCAAACAACACGAAAGAGACATGAAATTTTTTCCAAAGGCCATACTTTTTAAAACAAATTAAGGCATGCATGCATGCTGATCGGTGGAATGTCATATTTATTTATTTTAAAAGTCGTATACAAAAGGGCAGACAAAAAGATTGTGGCTAAATCAGCGACAGACAGTTATCAAAAGCCTTTGATTTAGCCACGATCTTTTTGTCTGTCCTTAAAATTGCCCTTGCTTTTAAAATAAATAAATATGACATTCCACCAATCGGCATGCATGTATGCCATATTTTTTTTTTAAATTATGGCCTCCGAAAAGAAATTCATGCCTCTTTCTTATAGTCTGCCGGCATTTTAGCCACGAGAAAAATGTCTGCCAGCAATTTTCCACGTTTCTTAATAATAAATAAAAGCTATTTGGTAACTTTTGGTATTATAATATTTTTAGTGTCAAAATTTCACCCTTTCGATTGGCCGCCCCCGCTTTAAGCCTCGGGATCGCGCTGGCAGACATGACTATTTCATAATGGCAACACAAAAGGATACTTCACAAGAAAAATTAGCCATGTAACGATGATAAGGTTTTTTTTATGTAGCCATAGACTATAATTAATCATCATCTGGGGGGGGGGGGTCCTCAATATTCGGAATTTGACATTGTATTTTTTTTAATTGAACTTCTACACCAACTGATTGAAACTGATTCAGAATGTGTTGCGACTTGCGACCGTGTTCGTGCAGCAGTTTTATTTTAGTTAGAAACTGATTGTAGAGTAAACTAGTTTGCAACTTTCGTCTCAAATTAGTCGCACCGTGGGTGCTGTTTTATTATCAAAATTTATTACAAGCACGTAACCTAACCTATATTTTTTAATACACTTATTCATTAAATAAGTTCAGATTAAATCCATTTATTTTTTGTCTCGTTTTAAATAGTCTGATATTATTATGGAGCGCAAATTTAAATATCGTCAAAAAAGTAATCATATTATTTAATTTTTGGTTTGTTTTGACACAAGTAATAACAGCCGATAAATACATATTCGATTCTTTTAAATTTATAACCAACCAAACAAGCAAAATCATCGTCTTTTAAAATCCTCCCTGATTAGTTAGGCAGACTTTACTCACTATTAATGTGCTAAAGTATGCTAATTTACTCACTTATAGTATGCTAAAGATCATAAAGTTACTCTTGGTAGTCCATTTCTATTTAAAACAAACAACTAATCATACTGCACTGAATGCACTGCATCTAATGCTACAAGAAAATATTACAAACCAACGCATTGCTTGTGCATTTTTAATCAAATTCGATTTCAAATCACGCTTTAGATGTAATTTGTCATTAACTAGTTTAATTTGAATATTTTTTGTATTTAGCTTCTCACTCTGTGGTCCTGGTTGCCAGTTCGGATCACCATGTACCAGCCGATCCTGCTCTACACCACCGAGGAACACGGATGTTCACTAACGACGTTCTATGTTCGAGTGGAACAGCACGAACCAACGCTGCTTATGATTAAGACTTGTAACAACGAGGTAATATAATGTTTATCCACTTTTCAACTTAAAGGCGTAGATTGACTTGAGCCGAACGCCGTAATGTAACGCTTCGCTTGTTCGCTACTCGCGACGATCGTTTCGTTCGGAGACGAAATCGTTTCGTTCGGAGACGAATCGCGAAAATCTCGCTTCGAACGCTCTCGGCTCGCTGTTTTCCAGTAATTTTTCAGCCGTTGCAAAATGTCATATTTAAAAATTGGGAGTAGTTAAAATAATTTTCATGTTTTTCTTTTTCAACTTCACTAAACACAATGCTATAATTGATAAAACCGCAGGTAAAACATCCAGTTTTCAATCCATCTTACCTGACAGTTAGAATATTATGTGTAGATGGTGCTAAGACTAGAAAACTGCTGCCAGTGTTCTAGATAGTCTTCCGTTTTAACTGACAGGTAAAATGTTATGTGTAGACGGGGCTTTAAAGTCTGTGTCCTGCGTCTCAAGAATAATCACAAATCTAAGATTTGCTGATTAAAATCACTCATTTCGAAATATTTTTCCCCAAAATTAAACAGCCTCAAAGGTGTATAGGCATTATTTCACACACAAGACACAATTCTTCATATTTTTGGAAAGGTTATGTCAATGCCAAACCAAACCAAATCAAATAGGCATTTCCGACATTGCCATTAACCAATTAATCCTTAATATTGGCAAGCTAAATATTGCATCCGTTATCCGTTATTTTTAGTCTTTTTGTATTTGATCGGAAAATAATATTGAATAATACCTATTTATAGACTAAGACGTCGTCGTCATATCTGTTAGATTGTCAAAAATATTTACTTTAAAAAATATTTGTTGTTTATTATAAATTTTTTTAGTTCTAAAATTATTTTCATAACTTCAATTTTAGAGATTTTCGATACACAAAGAAAAATATTTAAAGTCCCATCTACACATAACATTTTACCTGTTCAATCACAACGTATCAGGTAAAACTTGAGACTCGCTTGGTCTTGGTTCTGCAGTCTAATAGTAGTCTTGGTCTTGCTGCTTCGTATAAATTTAGAAAAAGTTCGTATAAATGTATGTCCTAAAATGCATCTTATTTCTATAGTCTATTTCTTAACTGTTGATGGCACAAGACCTTCATTATAAATGCAAAAGGCGTCTTCTTGTGTACAAGTTGACATGCCAAAAGTTGGAACTAATTTCATTTTAAGGGTATATGTTCCAATGAAATTCAGACCTCTTAACACGTTTGTAGATGGACACATCAGATGCGTTTGCCGAGAACAATAGGGGTTGCTCGTATAACAATAGGTAATAAAGATATTTTCGGGGAGTGACCGCACCAATGTCGGGTATTAGGGTTTTAAGAATTATTTTAAGTTATGTTAAAATATATTTTACTACGCAACGTAAAATAATATCATATAGCAGTACAAATATTTATTTACTCGTTATTTGCATTTTCAGTAACATTGGATTATACGAGTACACTCATTATCATACATTTTAGTGAAGAAATCTAAAGTTTTTAATGTTAAATGAATGTAACAGGTTACAAACCATTACTTGCCAGATTTTTTTGACAGAATGTCCTTCATTCAGCGATGTTTCGCTTAGGCAGAAGATAGATTTTCCTGCCCTGCGATATCCCTTAGATATTACTCTCTCCAAAGAATTATATATTATCTGTCAATGAGGTATAGACTTTCGGTTGTACTTTTCCACGAGAAGTTCATTTCCTTTAAAGTTGTACTTTTGCACTTTTCATTTCTAACCACAACTTCTCTTGGCAGATGATATACAGAAACCAAAATGACATTACTCGCAAATTTTGAAATATAATTAGTGGAAAAAATTAAAGGTTTGTTAACTTTTTCTATTAATGAAAATCTCCAAACTTAAAAAAAAACAAGAGGCACAAATATTATGCCTGTATCTCGGAAATACTGTGATCGAAGATGTTTTACGAATATTGAACCAACGTGCAATAGAGGCGGGTAGAATAGTGATACAATTATTGTATTAGCATACCTTTAGTAGGGCTTAACAGTAACAATCAATTTTATTACAGGTATTTGGAGCATACTGTTCGTCCAGATGGTGCGAACGGAACCAAAAAGATGACCGAGGCAATCGACAGGCTTACTTCGGTACCGGAGAAACATTTCTGTTCTCTTTGTATCCAGAAAGGGCGAAATACCCGTGGGTTGGTGTGGAGGGAGACAGGAACGTGTCCCACGGTTCGGAACTGTTCATGGCTGCCGATAGTAAAATGATTACGATAGGAGGAGGGTAAGTTCCCCATCCCAACCATATCTAGTTTTATATTCGAGGTTATACTATTAAAACTGAAGTCATTACTTTTCATTGATTTTAGTTTTAAAATCAATAGTTGCCTAAAATTGACCAATGATGATAGGTTAGAGCAGTGATGGCGAACCAATGACACGCCTGTCAGTACTGACACGCGAGCTTATTTTTGGTTACACGCATCGTAAAAGATTCGTTCAGACAATTTCATAATGCAAATATTTGTCTCTCATAACGGCCAGAGTTGCTTATTAATAATAATAACTCAAAACGTTCGCCATCACTGAGTTAGAGAGTTATTTTTTTACCTGTATCCCGTACTTACTCCGGACACAGATAATACCCCAAGCGAATCTTTGGGTCGGCGTTTACATGTATAGGAGAGGGTCGTTATGGCAATCTAGTAAGTCGGAGTGAGCAAAACTACGAAGTATTTATTACATAACTACTTAATCTGACGCTAGATTCCATGCGCTTGGGAAAATACTCGCCTTCTCTCTCTATTCAGTACATCTTATTTTACTTAATGCGTGTTGACAGTACTCTTCGTACACATGAAAACCGGCACCCAAGACCATAAATGCCGACCCTTAGTATAAATAGACAAAGGTGTGAGATTACATCTCTTTTACTGTACTAAACCACAGTAAACGAAGGTACCCAAGATATACAAAGCAGATATATAATGTTTATTTGTTTCTTTATCAATAATTCCTAATAATATAACTCTCGATAATACTTCGCGATATTACGGTATCACAGTTAAACATTTTAAGAATATATTATGAGATGTCAATCATAGTATGACGAATTATGATAATGAAAATTATCTGAAACCTGTCCGAATCAGGGAAGATTTCGACAAATGACAGAAACAACTCTTATTGTCAGGTATCCTTTCGTTGGACAGACTGTACAGGGTGTCCCAGGCTGAGCTTGCATTAGAAGTTTCTAGAGAATTAAAAGATTGTTTTTTAATTCTCTATAACTAACTTACTATTGAACTAAAACTAAAATGTTTATAATTTTTTGCAAATCGTGGTCTCATAGTGAGATCTTTCGATTAAAAATATTTTCAATAGAGCTTCCGGAAGTATTGGCAGTTGACAGCAACTTTCTTAATTTAAATGGTTATCCCTATTTTTATATCTTTGTGTTTGGTACTATACTCTGTAAAATTTCATGAATTTTGATATTAAACACTCTATATCTCTAGAATTAAGTATACTAGTAGTTTTTAAGTAGTAATAACTAAAGTACTCCGTTTTTAAGATATTTAAGAAATAGTTTTATATCATATTTTTGATATTATCTAGATATCTGTAACATCAAAAATCAACTAATGTCAAGCTATTCTCTATATTATGTCTTATTCCTATTTCCTTCTGTCAAAAAAATAATTGAATATTACATATGTAAGACATACGTAAAATAGTAGTGTCCCCTATTGAAAATATTTGTAATTAAGAGATCTTACTGTGAAACAATGATATACAAAAAAACTCTGATCTGTATTTTAGTTCTCTAGAAACTTCCAATTATCTCTCCTGCTCTAAGTTTTTAACTCTATTTATATCTATAATTATCTTCTAAAACGTTAAAAAAGTTACAAATAAAAACAACTAAAGAGACATTTAATTACTTATAGATCATACCAAATAAACTTTTAGTTACATAATTAAGCTTGGCCGGCACAGCATTGCCCACTTTTACATATTTTCTTTTTTTAATCGAGATATTTTAGGAAGCAAAAATAAAGTAATTATAAATATATAAACAGTTATTATTTACATCAACCAAACTCATCTACTTAACAGCACTTACCACCGCTTTCCCGTTCAAAATATTCTAAGAAGGTTGCGATGAGTTTTTTGTAACGGCTATTAAGCGGCTGCGGCAGTTTAATAAGTGTGACAACTTGACATTTTTTACAGCAGAGCTACCACCTGAATCCCCAGCGGAAAATTTAAATTCCAGTAGTCAGTTGGACACTGAATATGTCCATTGTTATTAACAATGAATTTAAAAATTGCGCCCTCAATTACGTAACTAAAAGTTTAATTGGGTATCGCTTATAGTACTATTATTAGGTAGATTATTCAACTGCCTTTATTTTTAGTAAAAAATCAATTTTTAACAGTTACAAATTTATGTTATAGGGAAGGTCAGGCAATATGGATGGACGAAAACATCCGCTACGGAAAAACGGACCACTGCGCAACCTTCAACAACCCGCCTCTGTGTCCGAGCGGTGATTTTGAAATACGAGTTTTGGAAGTTTATGGTTTTGCCACCGACATGAATTGAGTTAGAAGACAAATTGAGAAACCACAAACAACGAATGCACGTGTGAAAACAAAACATATTTTCATTGTATTAGGCTGAGCAGGACAAGATAATATTATGTCCTCAAGCAAAGTTTAAATAAGCATCTTGATGTAACAGTGTTTGTGTTGTAGCGTTATTATTTAATCTTTAAATATAATCGTATTACAATAATATACAAAATACGCTGGGCAATACATCTTCAAGTGGATGTTTGTATCGAAATCAGAAGGCAATATGTTGCATTCCTTTAGCAAAAACGATTCGAGATTATGGCATATATAATATTTGACATGCGCTTGTACCTTTTGATAATTTATTAGGTTTGTAACATAACCTAGAAACATGTTTTACTAACAAAATATCGAAAACAGTATTATTTATCGGTCTCAGACTATATCCCATTTTTAAAATGGTCTCTTTGTTTATTTGATTTGTTTCTCTTTTAGTTCCTTAAAGTATATCTTATTGTTATGTAATGTTATAAATATAACCTAAAAAAACTTTGTTTTGAACCTAGATCATATATAGGATGATTCACACGGCGATGGCACGTTAGACGTTTATGGAGAACCGGTGACAGAATTTTTTTTGAACATTTGGATGTTTACATAAAGGCACCTGCCCCATCTGTCTAAAATATTTTCTACTGTTACAATGTTGCCGCATCATTTGAAAAGTGGTAGCATCTTTGGATTTTAAATGGAATACCCGGTATTTTATTATATTTTTGGAAACTATTTTCATATCTCATAATTTTTCTATTATACTAACCCATACCGATCTCTAACATTTTTTGAGATATATGAATAGATATAAAACATACATAAAATTTACAAAAACACGATCTTGAATAAGCATTGGTAAAATCATGAATTGAACATTTTAAAAGATGATATTTGGGTTATAAGTTAACGAAATTCTATATATTCGATCTGTCTAAATCAACTCATAAGATATATAGGGAGATGAGCCAATGATGAGTACCATGGCCGTGAATCACTCTGTGTATGATCTAGGGTTTTAAGTAACATGAATATAGCTTTATATGCCTAAGTTAATCAAGTTACTAAAAATGTTAGTAAACGTTACCTAGTAATTGATACTAGCTGAATCATAAAGATCAAAATACGGTGCACAATGTCTATATTTGACAGATACACGGAATTCAGAGAACATCTTGCCTCGTTTTACTAATAATTAATCTATTAACAAATGTTGTTTAGATGTGTGTTGTACGTATTATAGCCCCCTTTTTCAAACATTATCTGCCATTTATGGATATTTATGCCTGACGTGAACCTGAAACTGACAAGTACTAGAATCTAGTCGTATTAGCTTTGTATTTATTTAGTTAATAGAATGTTCGGTACAGTAAAATGTGTATATTTCAAATATTAGTCTGTGTAAATATTAGTTTGTATGTTATTTTTAAGGTGTAAAAGCAGTAACAATTATTGCTTTGCATGTTAATTATTTGTTTCTTTTAAGTGCAAAAATATTTGCGTGCCAAACAATTTGTAGGGCGCTAATTCAGCTTTTCTCGTCATCACAATAAACATTTTTTTTTATTTAATTCAGGTAGAGTATGTTTTATGACTTTTATGCCATGTTCTGGATAAGACGACATCATATAGAAACTAAAAGAATTTCGGACTTCCATTGTCTTTATTTATTATTTTTTTTTTATTCAAAATAACTTTATAAACCGGTACGGACCCGGCATCAGCGAGAAATTCCGAGGCTAATTCAAATGACATCATATAGATCAATCGAGAGATATGGCAACGTTGTGAGGTATTATAGGAGGCGTTATTTTGACAAGTTTAACAGTTAAATTGTGATGATAAGCGTTTAAGACGCCCTGTGGTAATAAAAAAAACATGAAAATATAGTTGAATTTTTTCAAATAAGTCATAAAAATCAAAAGGCGTTTCTATGGTAATATATTTTCGATTTCATTCTTGACATATGGAGATGGTTATTATTAATTTTGATTAACGTCATATTTTTTGCTGTTTTTAAAGGATCTCATTTTTTGATAACTATTATCCCCGTTTCCGTAGCATCGAACAAAATAAATTTTGTGCTTATTTAACATTTTAAAACAGCAAAAAAAAATAAGTGATGGGAGAACACGAGCGAAAATTTGGTCGAGTACTCGATTATTGAAATAGCAATAACCGACATCGCTCGATTATGAACAAGCGATGCAAGTAACGAGCGACGAACGTAACCGATCCTAGAATGAAGTAAATTGAAATCCTATTTAAATGTGACATACTCGATCTCGATACAAAGCCAAGCGAATTTTCTACATACATTGCAGGTAGCAAATTTATACGACGTTATCCGTTGCGTATCGGAGTGACAAAATTATACAACCTACATCGACAATGCTTTAAACTAAACTAAATCAAGCGAAGTACTTGTCGCTCGTCGCTTGTTACTTGCCATTCATCACCGAAAGAATATGTGCTCTGCGTACGCAACTTATTGCTTGGCGTTACGAGTTGCGAGTACAACAAGCGACGGGCGAAAAACCGTATTTTTAAATTCGAGCGAAATTTCGCTCGAGCGATCGCTCGATTATTGAAATCGCTTGAAACTCGAGTACTCGATTATTGAAATTATACGGTTTTTCCCATCACTAAAAAATATGACGTTAATTAAAATTCTATCAATAAAAATCTATCAAAGAATGAATACGAAATAATATTATCATAGAAACGCATTTTGATTTTTAGGACTAAAAAATTCAACCATATTTTCATGTTTGTTTAATTTTCTCTAGAACAGTATGAAAATTTGGAAAAATAACCATTATAGAACAGGCAATTTTATTATGGAGAATGCATTTTTCTCAAAATGTCAATATTTTTTTTTTCTTGTAAAGACAATCCGGGGACATACTGTATGTCTGTCAGAACGTCTATTGGATTATTTAAAAAATGACAGACCATAAATTAGCGTGATTGCAGAGTCGACGGACGACGCATGACGGATGCGTATCAACCCCCACTTATGTCTAATTTTAATTTTATTAACCTGATAAAGGTAATTTTTTTATCCAGAACATTGGTATAATATTTTCATGAATTACAAAAGACTTGTTTGATTGTACTCATTCTGTATGCATTCATTCGCGTTGATATAATGTGTAAGTAATTCAAAGTATTTATTTGTTTTGTTATATACAGGGGCCGGTTAAGGGCAATACTGAATTTTTGGCGATTTCGAAAGACAGTTATCAGTATGTTCTCTTAACTTACCTTTGTTGTTATATTCTGTCTGTGTTAATGTGTATAAAAAGTAATATTAAATATTTATAATTATATCACTATGTTCAAGTTAAGCTACACATAATAGCATCGAACTAATTTTAAAGTCTATAAATATAGTTTTTCTAACCATTAGAAATTTTTAGAAAAAAAAAACTTCCTTTGATGCTATTTTAAATTAGAGATTTTTTTCTCGCATTTTCATCTTTTTGACAATGTTGCTGATGCAAAAGTAAACATCCAAGTTATGCAAGATTAGTGTTTAGAGATGTGTACTTCAAAACTGGCGTTTAGATTTTTATACCCTTCCTTGCGACTGAAACAAATATGATAAAAATCTTATGTCGAAAAGTGTTCTTAACCTAGATCAAAGTAGAACAAAAAATTAGAATAATGACCCAGGAACAATCAAAAGTAAGTTCTTAGGTTGCTTTATTATTTAAATAATTACCACAAAGTGAGTAAAGTATAATTAGTATAATTTTAATGACACTCATGACGGGTTTCTGTCATTTTAATCAAGATGGTTTGTTTCCTGTTACATCTACTATCATTATCATAACTATTTAGAAAAGTCTTAAACTCTAGTTCAGATTATTTTGGAATTTATTTTTAAATTACTTTTAATAAAAAAAATAGGAGGATAGTTAATTGATCATATTTGGACAATCTGTAAGAAATATCTGTAATGATTTTCCAATATACTTACTTAAAATACGGGATGTTCACATATATTTTAGCAAATATGTATAAGTTGCATTTATTTAATAGAATGCTCTGTGCACGGCTTATTCACTGCCAGCTAGTCATCTTTGCTAGATTTTGACTAAAGTCTGTCCAACGAATAAGAGAAGATTTCGACAGACGACAAAAAGTGGCGGAAAATACAATTTACCTGTAAATTAACCACTGTCACTGTCATGCAATCAGTGAGATCGAAAACTGTGTTGGACTGCGGAAAAGCACTGTCCTGGCTGCGTCAAGGCGGGGCCACTCTGTGCTGGGTACCAGGCTAAAGCAATGTGGTGGACAACCAAGAAGCGCCAGGAGAGAGGTTGTGAGAAAGGACCCACCACTATGGGAACTACCATCAAGGCCAAGCAGAAAGAGATGTGGCAACACCCTGAAGACTGCGCTCGAAGACCTTGGCCAGTGATAGATAGCAAAAAGACAAAACAACTACTAGAGCACAAAAAGAACCTAGTACGCATAATTATAGGTGTCGTTACTGGAAGTAAACCTCGTGAGATGGAAGATTTCCAACGACGACTACTGCAGAGAATGCGGAGAGGAAGAAGAAACCATAGAGCACCAGCTGTGCCACTGTCCGGCACTGGAAAACCGACGTTTTAAAACGGTTTTTTGGAGGGACTAGAGGAAGCAGCAGAAGCTAACATCAGACATCGGGAACTTTGCAAAGAGCTGGAAGTGCTATAACGCAAATAAATAATGAGAGGAAGGTTTGGTACAATAATACAGCGGTATCGCAATGGGCCCAAGTCCTCTGAGTGAGGGATCAAACAGGGTCCGAAATCCCAGCAACCTACGCTACGAGCGTCATTACTTAGACATCGTTTGTCCCTCTTACACTGGTGCCTCCATGATTAGAACCCAAGAGAGAAGGCGATCGTTTTCTATCAAGGTCGTGACATGTTATTAGTTAGTTCGTACTCTACCCGCGCTTCACTTCCCGCGCCTATTTTTGTACAAAGGCAGACAGTCAGAGCACCAGTCTGGATAGCTTTTATAACCGGAGCTTCAATGGAGCTCAGAAACCGACTTACGTTACAAAAGATAAGCGAATATCTAGCTAGATACGCAGAGTTCCGTGTAAATGATCGTAAGTCGACTGGCTATCTATGAATAGGCTGTGACTGATGCTTCAGTAAAATAGCTAATTGATACTGATACTAAAATAGCTACTATTCCTCAAAGACAGCATGCTGTTCCATCAAGTAACCAATTGGTCGATAAAAAAGGCTTTATGTTGGTAGTGGCAAATGTAGCCAGTTGTCATGAGATTTTTCTTTGCAAATCTGATATTTGTCATTTTCAATTTTATTCCGAATTTTCTTTGACAAATTTGAAATTAAATCTGCGTTTAGTTTAGTTAAAACGGCGACCTTTATTGCAAAAAAATGTCAATCACTAAATAGTCGGAATTAACAACTAGCTTAGAATTAACCCCTTTCGCCATTAAACTGCATCAGACAGGTAAATATTGATGTTGTTGCTTTGGTTTTGCGTCTTTTATTGAAAATACATAGATCCTTCAGCGTTTATAGTTGCGCTCAGTATCAGTTTAGTGATTAGAATCTCACGATAAGTGAAGACGCTAATGTTAACCACTTAGAACTTTACATTTTTCATTCAGAAAACTTGCTAATAACTTCATTCAATTAGAATTTGTTTGTGTAATAATCCTAGCCAAACTAAAAATGTAGACATAAATTATTAAAGTGAAAAATCGGTGACAAAATTATTTGACACTTGTCAAAGCCAAAGTAAAACATAACCGTGGCAACATTGCGACGTGCATTCGTCAAATACTTTGATGACGCGAACATCAACTTTTAATGATTTTCCTACATCGTGTGGGCATTTCTGGCTTTGGGTGCCGATTTTCGTGTGCACGAAAAGTACAGTTAGTACGGCGTGCTCAAACGCTCAAACGCATGAAGTGTAGCGCCGGATTAAGTGGTTACGTAATACATAACCACTTAATCCGGCGCGACATAGCAATTTACTCCTAGACATGTAAATGCCGACCCAAGACTTCTCTTGCCGATATGGTATATAAATTTATGGTCAAATTGAATTTAAAAATTACTCTAAGAAATACTTTACTCTTTTTGTGGTGAAAGAAATTAGAATTAAAGCATATCATCTAATGAGAGGCTCCTCGTTCATATTTTCATTTGAAAAGTATTCTCTTTGCTGTTAAGTTTTAAAAGTTTTATTGTATCGTTTTCATTTTATATTTGTAATCATATATGGTTGTGGATGAACTTTGTCTTTGTAAATGTTGACTTGAGGATCTCAAGTGTGCGTATATATGAGTTGAGTACAAAATAGGTCAGGAACAAGTAAGGTAATTTCATTAGTCACGTGGTAACTTTTAGTAAAGCTGGCAAAGTTTAAATTAAAATTGGTTGACTGCAATTTGGTCCTGGTCTAAAATGGAAAAATCTTCGACATCACTTTAGCGAAAAAAAAATACAATGCGTGTGATCTTAAATAAACATAACCAAGGTCACCATTGGAATTACATTTAAAATTTTCATATTTGTCAATCAAATGGATAGATCACTACCATAGTGCAGTTTCATTTCCTTGCTTGGTTATGCCTATTTTGGGGCATACGGTATGTGTATAAATATATAAATAATTAAAAGTAGACTGTTATGGTATTTTTTGTTTACAAGTGTATTAAAGGCTTTTAGTTTTAGTAGTTATTGTTTCTTTTTGTTGAATGTAGAATAAAAGTATTACAAAGTAATCCTTAGTTTTGTTTCAATTGGTTATTGATTGTGTTTACCCAAATTGTGTGTTATAACTTTCAATATGCTATAAATATATTTAAAATTTTAAACAGGAAACAAAAATATTAAAAAATCATCAATTTCATTTGGGGTAACGGCCCAACTAGGTTGAAATACCGGTCTCCGATAGATCACTGAAGCTAAGCGATGTTAGACGATGCGAGCAGACTCTGTCACAAACTCTGTCGTGTTGTCCCATGGCAAGAGTATAAAATCTATTCATATACACTACTCATTTACGCCGGGGCCATTCATATTACCCTTAAGGTACGCGCACACTGATGAGAGCCGCACGCGCCGCATCGACCGAAGAAAAATATTGTTTGTGTTACTTTAAATGAAGCCATGCGGTTCTGACTAGTGTGCGCACCTTCATTGAAAGTAACACAAACAATATTTTTCTTCGGTCGATAAGGCGCGTGCGGCTATGGACAGTGTGCGTGTACCTTTAGCAGCAAAATGTCAACTTAAAATACTTGACTATTTTTTAAATATCATTGCATGAAGGTATTTTGTGAAAAAATCTATGATTATAAAAATTCACTTGATATTTTCCTAATGGTTTATTAATGATAAAACACCTGAAAAATTTGATATTTATATATTAAAAAATATATAGCATAAGCTAAGTTGAACGAAGTATACATGTAATAAATATAGACCAACTAATGAATAACAAATAACAAATTATGTATTCTAAAGTAAAATTAACATTTTTTTGTCTTTATAAAATTAACTTCTTAACATTAATTTGTTGTTTTAAGGAGGGATAACAATCCTATTAGATAGTGAGTAAAAAATAGTAATTAATACATTAATATTGTGAAATAAAAAATTGCTAAACGGATATAAAATGTGCGATATTTATGTAAAATTTCTTAAAACATAATTTCTACATCCTTAAATAAAGTGATAAAAGGACTTGGCTAATAACTTTTATTGTACGCCTAATTAAAAATCAAAAACAAATATAAGATAAAGTAAAAAGTGTTATTCTTATTATTGCCTGAGAAAATCTGAAATTTTTAAGCTCTGTTGAGAAAACTAACAGATTAAATCATACTACTATCGAAAATCAATACTTGGCACAGTTTTATTGCATTTTTTGTAGTTATTAGTGTCAATTTTAAGTACTAACTAAAAATTATTTATTTTACAAGCGAGTTTAGGTATATTATTTATTTTGTCGCTCATTGCTTAAAGTTCCTAAACATATTTTTTAAATAACTAATTATTTTTCTTTCTAAATTTACAATATTGTAATATTCATTATTAGATTTGAATCAAGAGTTATTAGCATTTTAAGACTTTTTAATTACATTATTATGTAATTACAAGCATACCATGATGGTTTATTTGATATTTGATGACCTACCTTACTGAAGCATTTTATACATCTTACTAATGATAATGTATACATTTTTTCCAGTTTTAATCCCATTCGTCATCATTAGACGAACTACTAGTTTCATCATCTTCGTCGTCTGAATGAATCAATTTGCTTCTTTCAGCTAATGCCTTGGCTAATGCACTGCAAAAAATAAAATAAAGTAGAAAAAAGTTTAAAATTGACATGATTTAAGGCTTGTGATCATTAGAGATAACAAAAAAACTATAGTCTGTCTGACGAGAGGATCCCTGACAGTGAGTCTGTCATTTTAATTCATCGACAAATTGTATTTTAAGTTATTTTTTGAATGTTGTCTGCCGGAATCTTCTCTGATTCCTTGGACAGATTATGCATGTGATTTTTTTCACAGTGAAATAAAAGTGGCAACACACACACACACTCACAGCTGTTAATAATTTAGAAATAAATTGTGAATGGCTAAAACGAATAACACAGTTGTGCGCCGCGAGGAGACGTTTTCTGTTATTTTTCTCTGATTTTTTAAAATAATCTGATTTTCTCATATTTTTAAATTATTTTTTACCAAAAAAAAATAATATGAAACCCCCTTAATTCCCTCATGTAATTTATGAACGGCCCCAAACTATTAGCAAAATAAAATATAACAAATACATTTGAGTGTTTACCTTGCCAAATCATTTCCTGAGTTTTGAGGCGATGAATTCATTTGTGGTCTAATTTCACGGTCCTCTACTCTCTTCAGCTGTATACCTTTCCTGATTTCGCTTAGCAAGTCGCCCCGTGCATCTTCCACTGGAGTAATTATTCGTTCTTCGACAGGCTAGATAAATTAGTTTTTTTCACAATTAATATTACAGTACCAGCATAATAAAAGAATACATATTATTATATAACATACAGTGACGATTTATAAATATCAACTTTTAGTTACGTCATCTAGGGCGCGATTTTTAAATTAATTGTTGCCAACCATGGACATATTCGGCGCCGGTCGGCGCCGTGCTGACTAAGTGGAATTTAAATTTCCCGCTGGGGCAGCTCTGCTGTAAAAATGTCAAGTTGCCGCATTTATTTATTTATTTCCTGACATTATCATTCGTTTCGACACTTCAGTTTTGTATTATGAGTTTTTAGTTTCAATAAATAGTGTTGTGATACTTTAAGCTTAAAAATGTTTACTAGTAGACATTGCAGTCGAACATTCTTTTTATTTAAAACCTCTTTTAGTGCGAAGTGCACAAGATATCTTAATAGCTGTAAAAAACTCATTGCAACTTTAATAGAATATATTTTGAACGGGAAAGCAGTAGTAATGGCCCTTATGATTCTTAAGTGCTGTTAAGAAGGCAAGTTTTGTTGATGTAAATAATAATTGTATATAGTTTTTATAAGCTACGTCAAAATACGGATAGATCACCGAAGTTAAGCGACGTTAGACAATGCGAGCGATTCGTCTATAATCTGGCATTAAGGCTTAAACCTATCTGGACAACACACGGCCCAGCTACGTCAAAATACGGATAGATCACCGAAGTTAAGCGACGTTAGACGATGCGAGCGAATCGAGGGATGTCTCACTGTTTGAATTAGGTGTACAATTTCTGACAGTCGTTGGCATGTCCTTATGGGCATTTTCCAATCTAAACTTAATTCATTTACCTATAATGGTGACATTCATTTTTAAAAAAAAATGTCATTTTAACAGAACGTCAATGGTTTATAATAGACATATCTGCTAAAAACCTTATTGAAAAAAAGTGTTTTTGAATAGTTGTATTTAGATATTTTCGAAGACACTGTTGGAATTACATGTAGATTTTCTTGGCAGTCGTTGGCATCAGTCGGCTATAATTATATGGCAGACATAGGCAGTTCTTCGTGGTTATTGGCAGTCGCTTGACAGTAAAATTATACAGGGTGGTCCGAACTGTATTCCGAAAACTTCAGCAGCATATTCTGCACATAAAAATAAGTAAAAAACTTCGTATAAACTTTTGTCCTATAATGCTTAGTTTCGGAGATACAGGGTGTAGAAGTTTCATTTTTATTTCGATTTTTTCCAAATAATTTCTGAAGTAACGTTAATATTTGGACTGAAATTCGTGTCTGGGCGTTTTTTGGCGTGAAAAAATTGATTTTCATGTCAATATGACTCCTACTTATAGAGGGCACCACCTACATATTTTTTAACTGGTTTGAAGAGTAATAACTTTTCGTCCGTACCAGTATAAAACTACTGAGCAAAAAAATATACATTTACGACGTTTTTTACGTAAAACAAGTCTCTTGGTAAAAATCGCTACGGGTAATGGTTCTCGAGATATTTCAAATCGAAATTACCAATACCTATCATCATTGACATAAATTAAACATGTCGACTAAATAGTTATTAGTCTGAAATTATAAATTTGAAATGTTTTTGTGTCAAAAGTTCAACAGAAACTGTTTTATCATCATTTTTTTCAAAGAAAAATTTATGATTAATTTAAAAAAACAAAAGTCACAAATTTATCATTTCAGTCAAATAATTATCTACTCAACATGTTTATTTTTTGTCAATAATGACATGTATTGGCTCTTTCCATTCTAGATATTTTAGAACGATTGCTCGTAGAAACCAAGAGACATTTTTTTACATAAAAAATCACGGAAATGTATATTTTTTCATTCGGCAGTTTTATACAGGTATGGACGAAAAATACTCTAACAGTTAAAACACATGTAGGTGGCACCCCCTATAAACAGGAATCATATTGACATCAAAATCAATTTTCTCATGTTAAAAACTTCCAGACACCAATTTTCATCAAAATATCGGTATTAGTTCAGAAATTATTTGGAAAAAATCGAAATAAAAAGAAAACTTCTACACCCTGTATCTCCGAAACTAAGCATTTATTTCAGGACATATATTTATAGAAATGTTTTCACTTATTTTTATCTGCAAAATATACTGCCGAAGTTTCTGTAATACAGTTTGGATCACCCTGTATTTTGGCAGTACATGTACATTTTTTACCCAAGTGAGACATCCCTCGGATATTTGAAATAGTTTTTTCTTTGTGTTTTTATCTTTTGCGAAGGGATATACCTCTCGAAATGTTAAGCATTTGTTGTTCGTTAGGCAAATTTGTTTTACTAGTAAAATACCACTGACAAATTGGTCTCCGCTGGATCAACACAGTGATTATACAAAGAATGACTTTTTAATTTTGTAGATTTTCTTCTAGTGGCTAAAAATACAGAAATATATTCCTTACCTTCAAAGTAGTTCCATTCCTTATGTCCTGGAACAACTCAGACTCGCCAACTAGTGCCGGCGGTGGCGGCGGCGGCACAGCATTGTCTATATCCATCATCGGAGGCGGCGCTGGTATATTCATGGGCGGAGGAGGCGGGGGTGGAACGGGACCAGCGTTTCTAGGCGGTGATGGTGGACGAGCCTTCTTTGGTATGTTTTCTGTAAAAGATGGATGACAATTAATTCATAAAGGTATAATAAGAAAAATTAACCTAACCAAGGAAAGCTGGATTCACAGCTCTGTAACTTGTGTGTAAGTGTCGTTCATGGTTTCGGCCACTTCCTGTTTCACCGGAAATGACTACAACTTTTGATTTTTAAATGTTATCCTCGATTTTTTTAATTTATTTGGTAGAAAATGATATTCTGAATAGAATGACATATCACATGTCAACTTTTGACATTTTCGTATATTAGCCACCTTTGTTCATATCGAACAGTCATACGAGACGGTCGTGCTTTCGTTTCGTTTGTGGACCGCCGGTATTGAACGTTTGTTTTGTTTTGTTTTGTTTGGATTTGTCGTGTGTTGTTGTTCGGTCTTGACCCGACCCGGTTCAGTTCGCTAGTTTTCGCTGAACGTGCGTTTCTGCTTTATTTTATATAATTATTTTTGGTTTTTAAGCCAGTTTAAGCAGCTTTGTCTAACAACAGATTGGCATGTCATCTCTGGTGATGTAGACACGGAATTTTCCAGATTTACACAAACATTATCTGGTCTGGCATCCAAAGCCTTTCCTCTCAGGCCTGTCAAAATTAAACATCATAAACCCTGGACTACTAAGGGCCTACGTACATCTGCAAAAAAACATGCGCTCTTTATCTCACCTAAAAAAATTCTCGGATAGTGTCTTCTTTCACGAGTACGTGAAACTTTACAGGAAAATTTACCATAAGACTATAAAAGCCGCCAAGGACATCTATTACAATAGGAGGTTGACTGAGTCCGGTAATATTGCCAAAGAAACATGGTCGATTGTGAATGACTTGAGGAGTAAGGTTTCTTCGTCCAACATAACCTCAACTTCACCTGAGGACCTAAACAATTACTTTGTAAATGTGGCGAAGAATATAGTGAATACTATCTCACCCTCCCTTGATCCTCTATCATTTCTCTCTGACTATAATGTTAATTTGCACAGTTTCTTCCTTACGCCTGTGGGGTTGGCAGAGCTTCGCAATACATTAAATGATATTAAAAATAAATCTTCAGCAGGGACTGACGGACTTACTCTTAAAATGTTCTCTAGTATGCCGGAATGTACATTAAACCATCTTTCAGCCTTAATTAATATGTCATTTGAAGATGGTGCTTTTTCCAAAATGCCTTAAGTCGGCGATAATTATTCCTTTGCATAAAGGAGGTGATAAAGAGCAAGCTTCCAACTATCGTCCAATTGCACTCCTTCCCACGTTATCGAAGATCATGGAGAGACTGGTTAAAAAGAGGCTTGTATCATTTCTTCTAAAATACAAAATACTCACCCCCTTTCAGTTTGGGTTCTTGAGTAACAAATGTACAAATGACGCTATGTTTTCGCTGTTTAATAATGTATACTCCAGTCTGAACAACCGTCTCGTTACAGCAACAATTTTCTGTGATTTCTCGAAAGCTTTCGATTGTGTTAATCATAACATCCTAACTAACAAATTGCAGTACTATGGTATCAGGGGAACGCCTCTTGAATGGTTTAAGTCCTACCTTAACAACAGAAACCAGCGTGTGAGGGTTGATAAGACTGTGTCTTCTTGCAAGCCAATAGAATGCGGAGTACCTCAGGGCTCAGTGCTAGGTCCTATTTTGTTTCTGTTGTTTATCAACGATATTGCTAGTCTGGACATCAGTGGTAAAATCTGTCTCTTCGCGGATGATACTTGTTTCACATGGAGCAGCCCGGACACCACGGCACTTCATAGAACCATTTCCAGTGACTTAATCAACATAAAAACATGGTGCGATTCTAATTATCTGTGTCTCAACGTCTCTAAAACTAAAGTCTTATCATATAAAAGTACGTTGCTACCTTTTCAACTTGATAATACCACCATTGACGTCGTTGATTCTGTGAAATTTTTAGGCCTTGTTGTGGACAACTATTTAAAATGGGATTTGCACATCGATGCTTTAGCTAAAAAATTAAGTTCTGCCTGTTTCGCACTTAGATCAGTTGCTAATGTGCTTAATTTGTCAACATCTAGGACAGTCTATTATGCCCTTTTTGAGTCGCATCTCCGATACGCACTTCCATTCTGGGGTGCGTGTTGTGCGACTCAATTTGAGCGTATCTTCAAATTACAAAAGAGAGCTGTGCGATATTCACTGAGGCTAACCAGTCGTGCTCACTGCCGGGACTTGTTTAAAAGATATAAAATATTAACTCTTCCTTCCCTATTCATACTCGAATCCGTCTGCCTAGTTCGCAAGCACGTATCGAGTATTTCTCTAGGGCCAGTTCATGGCTATCCAATTAGGAACGCAGAGCATAACATGTATCTGCCAACCCCTCACTCTGAGTTAGTAAAGAGTTCCATATTGTACAATGCAAAAAAAAAATGCACAATCATCTGCCATCTGAAATTAATTCCATTTCATCCTTTCCTGCATTTCGCAGAGCCTTGAGATCATACTTACTGGAGAAAGCCTTTTACGCGGTTAACGATTTTTTTATTAATATCTAGGGTTCTAAATTTAACACACATTCACTAAATTTAAGAAATGATTTTGTTTTCTATCCATTTAAATTTAGTATTGACATTATATACAGTTGTTTATTTACATGTATGTTTATATTTTATTTATATTTAATTAAATAAATTTTTAACAATGTACAATTTCTATAATTGTATAAAGTATTGTTTTAGTTTTGTATGTTTGCTGTTAGTTTTATATGTTTTTCTATTGTTAAGTGAAGTTTTGTATGTTTCTTATATTCTTTTTTTTTTAAGCTTTGTCAACAAAATTGTAAAATTTTTTTTATGACAATAAAGCAATTTCTTTCTTTCTTTCTTTGTTCCATTTAAAAACAAATTAGATATGGCTAAAAATACGATTGCATATTTTAAACAGTCAGGACAAGACACGAAAAATATTAGACGATTAAATCTATTTTTCCAAGGCTTCTTGATTAAAAAAAAGTTTTTAACACGGCCATGGCACTCTAGATTGAAATTTAAAATACGGTTTTGTTTTAAGCGAAAATGTCAAAAGTTGGCATATGATATTCTACTCAGAATGTCATTTTTTATCAAACAAAGTAAAAATATACCGAAGGTGCCATTTAAAAATCAAAAGTTGTAGTCATTTCCGGTAAAACAGGAAGTGACCAAAAACAATTGAATACGTCAATTAATCCTAATTTATGTCATATATTAACATACCAAATCTCGTTTTTTTATCCGAAAAAATAAAGAAGTTATAGGGATGAGCCACTGTCAGGTTGTCAACTGACGTAAACCAAAGTTTTATTTTCCACAACCTTCTATGTTAGATTAGCAGAATAATAAAACTATTTTTATTATGGAAATTAAGCATAACCATCAAATTTAAATTAAAGTAAGAGTTTATTTATTTGCAAAAGAAAAACTATGAGATATAATCTAATTGATATTATTTTTTATCAAGTTGGAATGTTCTAAATGAGATAATATTATAAAAAATAGCATTTCTAAAGGTTACATTTTACCACTTAGATTTCAATTCTAGCCCTGTGTGCGACCGTTGTACTAGCGACACGTCCTACCTTGAATGACACGTTTAAGGTGTGATTACCACAATGAATTTAAATCGCAGAGCACTCTTCCTTTTTAACTGACAGGTAAAACGTAATGTGTAGTCGGGACTTTAAGGTTTATATTCCGTAATTATTCAGCATAAAATATAATATAAACGTACCGCTGTTTGAAGGTAATCGTTGATGCGGTGGAGGTGGCGGAGCTGGTCTGGCAGAAGGCGGCCTGGAGGGACCTCTTGGAGGTACAGCTGGAGGATTTCTCTCTAAACCTTTATCGCTGCCCTCGTGATCTTGAATGAAATTGTAGATAAACGCTCGAGTTTTCTTGTTTTGCAATTGTTTCTCAGAAACGCCAGCCTGTAACATTATATTTAAATATTTTTCATTATAGAACATAGACTCCGAAACTAAATTTTTACTCTCAACGCGCGTAAATAAGTTTTACTTCAATAAAAAATATATTATATTACACTCAATCAACTTAAAAAACAAACCTTGGTGAAGATATCCCTAAGATTATCATCGTCACCTTTTACATCAAATCCTGAAGCTGGATCCCATCCCACATGAGAGATATGTATGAAATCCATAGGCCTTCCTATATACAGAAAAATATGTAATAAATACCATGCGATCAAGATAGTTTTAGAAGCTGATTAAACTTTTTATTCTTTTTAATCACACAGTAAGTAAATTTGTTAAGAAAAATTGACTTATTTGTTCCACATTAAACATTAAAGTATGTTTTCATACCTATATCTGCCTTGGTAATATTTCTTCGCCTTTTTTCTTTTCTCAGCTCTTGTTTCGATTCAAAATCTAAATTTTGTTGTAGAGGTAATCTCACAGATTGCGACTGACTAATTCTTCGAGCACGTTTATCTTCCTTGTGTTTCCTTATAGAAATTTTTTTAACAACTACATTTTTAAAATTTCTAGCTTCATCGTAATTGGCAAAATTGAATGCAACAATATTTTCTTCACCTAAAAAAAAATGAACAATTTTGATTTAGTTACTGATTAATATTCCATAAATGTACTTAATAAAATGTCGTTCACATATTTATTTCATAAAGAAAATGCTATTTACATTACTAAGAAAGTATGATAAAAATAATAAATAAAAAAGTCCACTGGAGAAACTAGAGAGCGGCACAAGCATATTCATCCAAGAACCTAATTCTAAAACCATGAAGGAACTGCTAATATACTAATACTTAGATAAATTGAAAAATAAAGTGCATATTACAACAGGTCTCTTGACAGGACTTGACTATCAAGTGCTACCTGAATAAGTTGTCGTATCAAGAAAATCTTTACTGCAGACTCTGCGATAAAGATGCTGAAATAACAGAGCCCATAATATGTGACTGCATGGCTGCAAGGCTCTGGATTGCAAGTGACACTCTTTATTAAGGACAGCAAATTTAGAAAGGAACTATGCTCCCATCCTATCAAGAACCTGCACAAGTTGGCGCAGGGTAAAGGAATAGGAGAGTGGGTGCAAACATAGAAAGGAGACAAACACAACAGGCCTTACAGGTCGCAGTGTATCTGGTATATGACTTATACTAAATACAGTGTTTCTGGTATTTGAATATATTAATATTGAGAAATAAAACCTATGATAAAAACCATACCTTCAAACATATGAAAAAATGGTCTGGATTCAATATATTCCATGTTGTTATACATTTCATGTTCCCAGATCATACTGTCCCTTTTCAAGTTGTATAGCCGAAAGAAATAATTCTTTCTGTTTACGTCCCTCACGAAACACAGGACTCCCGTTCCTTTTTTTGACCATTGTGAATGAACGGGTGGAATAGTCGTATAGAGTTGTACCACTGTAGTAGCCAAAGTTACGCACTTATTTCCGAGAAGATTGAATACTTGCAAATTTTCGTCGGTCGAAAGAAGACTAGAATTTTGATTTTCGGGCGGGGGTGGAGGCATTTTCATTATTCTACTAGTAATTATATAATTTTTGAAGTTAGAATTACGTTTAAAAGCTACAAAAAATATTATTCACTGATAAAAGCAGTACGTAGAAAAATGATAACAAAAATGACAACATATGAAATGAATGTAACATAACCTTTATAGGAGTGAAAGCTATCAAAATTAGTATTAAATTTAATTAATAGATGTCTCTCATTACTTTTTGGGATTTAAAAATCGTAGATTTCTTTAAATTTATAAGAAAATAAAAAAGTTTAGCTATTTAGTGATAGATAACACTAGTGACGTTTTTTTTGTTATAGAAATCTATAAATATCTAATTTGAATACTAAACCCATGATGACGCCACATATGCAATAAAAGCAGAAACCTGTATCTACTTATTTTCAATACTTTCCATATGGTGGCGCTAGAATCGTTTGAACAATAGTTCCAAAAATTCTCACTAAATATGCGTAGCGCTGTAATCAACCAAGCGCGCCAAAAGAAAATTTGAAAAGACGACACTTTTTTATGAAATAAATGTATACGATTTTCTTATTTCTTCACGGTATACAATAATATACATGCACACATTGTTTTTAAAAAACAATGATGCACAGTAGCATAAAATATCAAGCTTACCTATTATTGTATAAGTGGTGTTTAGCACTTATTATAGATATAGATATCGTTAGTAAGCCAAGTTTAAAGAATAAATAAATCAATATAAGTTAAATAAAACTCAAAACAGTAAAATATATTATCTAATTTCTTCTCACATTCTATGTTATAAATTTATATAATCTTATCTACTCTTTTTGTTAAGCTATATAGTTATATATAATAGCTGCTCTCCTTTATCTCATAGTCGTGAGTTGTCCGTATGTTTTTGACGTTACAAGACAAGAAAGATGTAATCATGTCAGATGTCATCATATCATGTGTTTTGTAATTTTACAATAACAGCTGATAATAGTTAAATTTTACTTTATTTTTCTTTGCCTTCTTTATACTCTGTGCTTAGTAATTTTAATCTTTTCTTTCTTTTTTGCATAATCTGTTTAATGGCATTTATTTAATGAATAATAATCATAATTTAAATAAAATCTGAATATACTTTATATGTATAGCTATTAAAGGCTTATTTTGATAAGCCTTCCTTGAAAAGATTCATGTGACGAAAAACAGGTCCGAAATATTCATCTATTTTATGTAATATGGTTTTATATTTAAATTTGTATGTGGAAATAATTTTGTTTATGCAGTTTAATTTTTGTTTAAGAACTAAGAAAAGCCTTTATCGAATCCAATAAGAACTTGATTTAGCGTAGATGTTACATGTATTTTTTTATTATGAAGATTTATCTTGGTAGAAAAAATTGTTAAGGATCTGTTTAAACTCTTTGTATAAATACTTTAGCGAGGCCTAATTTTAATTTAACCACGTTTTATTAAACCAAGCAGGCATATCAAATATTTAAAGAAAATGTCTGTTGCTGTATTTTCAGAATATTGCCTTATAAATAAATTAAAACAACTTTTACCCGCAGTGAATTTTATTGAAGTTAAAAAATCAGGTACCTATTGTAATCTTTACTGCACAATGAAGCAATAAATGGTTTAATTTTATATATTGTATTATTTAATATTCTTGTGAAGCCAATTGATTGCCTTTTGCTGACAACTGAGATGATTTTTTGAATTAAACGATGCACTTCTAGATCTTTCACCATTGTACACAGCGGAGATTATCCTAGCAGATTTTGCTAGTGTCGGACCTCATATAAGTCAGCTAGAAAAAGCAAAATGGATTCAAGGAACTTGGGCAGGAATTGATGCTTTAAAACAATACATTGATGTAAAAAATCCTCCAAAATTTGCTGTCACTAGATCATCAGGTACAAACATTGGTCAGTTGATGGCAGAATATGTAGTGGCAAATATAGTCTTTCAGGAAAGGGATTATCTTGAGGTGGGTAATTCCTTACTGGCATATATAGTTTATCCTGTAAGATAATTCTAGACTGTTGTAATTTAGGTGAGGGAAAATCAGAAAAAATGCTTTTGGAACTCGGGTCCATACCTATATGATTTTAGATCTATATCAGAATTAACTATAGGCATATTAGGAATTGGAAGTATTGGCAATATAAGTAAGTTTTTTCTTTATAATTATACAAAAAAATAGTAATATAGGAAGGGTATAGTTTGCCCAGGTAAATAATATATGACAGTCAGTTGGCGTCTGTCATTTTATATTAAAATAATTGTTGTTTATGCACAATGAACAACTTGAATAGGAGCATAAGGTACCATATGATCGAAAAAAACGACGTCCAGTTGGCTTGGAAATGACGATCAATGACAATGACATTTTCCATATAATTTTACACATGACAGCGATCTTTATATTTTAATATTCAGAATTGTATCTCTGTTACAATTACTGTTATTAGATTAATTCATTAGTGCCTTATAAACAAACATGCAACTGTTTTTTGGATGTTGTTTTTCGAAATCATACACTCTCTTGCTGGACACACATATAGCATGAAATGCAATTTCACAGTCATCATGTTAATATGTTTTTATTGTATGCCATTGAGCTTAAATTTTATGGACCTATATAAAAATAAACATCATATATTAGGTATTAGGTATAGACATTTTTTATCATATATTAGTTAATAAAGACTACAAACTAACTGCAGGTCTGTGTAGGTCTGTAAAAATACTCAAGGAAACATTTCATTACCTACCCTTTTAATTTTTTATCATCTAAATTATTTTCTATTTTTAAATTCTCATATATACAGGGTGTCCCAAATTCAAGCCTTATCATTCGGATGTTGGGAACTAGAAGAGATACGAAGTCGGTTAAATGAAGGAAAAGTTGCGCAATTTGAAGCTGATCAAAGTGTCACCTTACAAGTCTATAAATTCCGAATACTTCCGAAGATTTTTGAAAAAAAAAATATTCGCAATTTCATTTTTATTTTTATGACTATTTGAATAGATATAACAAAATAAACTTCACATTCTTATTGCTGGGACCTAAACATGACGTTGTAAGGTTCAGCAATGCACAACTTTTCTCATAATTTAATCATCTTTGTATGTGTTCTGGATTAGAACATCCCTGTAGTGTATATAGCTATATGGGACACCCTCGGGAACAGCATATATACAAATTAAAATTTGGAATGTTTTTAAAATGTTATAACATATATTAATTATGTGTTAATACACATTATTTGTGTATTAACACATTAAATAATGTGTATTATTAAATCATTAGAATAATTAGTTAATCATTCTAATGAATGATTAACTAATTTTACTCTAGAGAATGCCTTTTTAATAGACATTTTTTTTATCTGACAAAATATATTTAAAAAGACACCTATATTTGATAATTTTTTAGTTGGAAAAACATTAAAATATATGGGTGCTACAATTTATGGATATGGTAGAAGAGAATCACTGCCTCTAGAAAATGAGGAATACCAACACATTAGCCAATATTTTACTAAAGCTAACTTCAAAGACTTTTTGAGCAAAGTTGATTATTTAATTAACGTATTACCCTCTACACCTGAAACAAACGATATTTTAGGAAATGGTGTTCTAGAAAATTGTAAAGGTTAGTAATTTCCAATGACTAAAGAATATAAGGACCAATAACACCAGAAAATGAATCTGACCAGAGAGCTATTATTAAAAATGCAGATGTAAATATATATTAAAAAAGATGTTTTAACATTTTTTTTAAACGATTATTCGATAGTCTTTAATTTTATTTTTAACATGTGTTCCTTTTATAATAAAATTATTGATTATACAATTTTTTACCTCACAAACTTAATTTGTAAATGAGACCAGGGTGTCAAAACTAAATTGAACAGTTTACAAAGTTTAATTTAGTACTTACTGTTAAGAATTATTAGGCTTATTTAGTAATGAATAATCCTTATTTGTTTATATTTTTAATAAAAGTTTCGCCTACCTCTATGGTAAAGATAAAACCAACTTACTAAAAGCCAAGAGCGTCATAGGTGAAAGAGACCGTCATTATATCTATCTCACTCCGGTTCCGGTAGATATAAACCGATTGAAGTGAGATAGAACTTTCCGCGCTGTCTTGCGGTTATGACGCAAATGGCTTCTAGTAAGTTGGTTTTATCTTTAGATGCCGATTTTTAGGTGATGTTATGCCGATTATCTAAAAAAGTATTAAAACTTTCACAAAAGGTAAAATAATAATATGAACTATTATCCCAATATGTAGCATATATCATAGTATAATAGCAGAAAAATAATTCTCAAATTCAGTAACAAAAAACAGCTAAAAAGAGTGCAGAAAATTGTTCATTTGCCTATGAAATTTAGAACCAAAAAAGAATGGCGTCCTATAATTTAACATTTGAATTTAACCAAAGGTTCAACATCACAGTTCTTCTAGGTATATGTTCCAGCCCGTACATGCGCGTTACGCGTCCTTGTATTCTTTATTATTTAGTCATTAAAATTACCTTATATTTTCTGTCATGTGGATACCGTCTGGTCAAAATCTTTCCTTCTCTCACTGAACAGACTTTACATTTAAATTTATAAAATACAGCAAATGAATTAATTTCTATCTATGTCGCTTTTAGGAAAAAATACAGTATTTATTAATGTTGGAAGAGGCAATGTTATTAAAGACGCTGAAATAGTACGTGCTTTAAACGAAAAATGGATTGCAGCTGCCATTATAGATGTATTTGAAAAGGAACCATTGCCAGAAGATAGTCCACTCTGGAAACAAAACAGTGTAAGCTAACTGATTTCTAATTTGTGTATAACACATATTTTACAAAGAGTTAATGACGTGTCATTATTTCAATAGACAAATTATTTCAAAATTTAGAGTCAATTCGCCATAAAAAAATGAAAATATACTCTTGACATAGTCTACTTGATATAAGTCTGTCACACGCATAACTGTCACTAAAGTCATACTTTTTCGAGATACAGATACATTCAACATTATTTTTTTCTTTTATTGGATATGTTAAATTGATTCTATATACAGTTGTACAAATATAGGAAGAGACTTGGGGATAGCACCGGTCGCACACACGATAGTGATTTCTCACGTCTCTAGCTATACTTGTTAAGTTGTACATAATTTCTTGGTATCAGAATAATAAAGTATTTTTCCTATTTATTGTGAAGTCTTTTTTATTATTTTTATTTTCTTATACTATAATAAAAATTATTTCTTATAGGTTTTCCTAACACCTCACGTATCGGGTCCTAGCCGTGTTCAAGATATAGTGAAACAATTCAAGATCAACTATGAGAAATACCTAGAAAACCAGCCACTTAGTCATAAAGTAGATTTTGAAAAAGGTTATTAGCATCACTCATTTGGAAAGTTAAACAGTCAAACTTTCAACACAAAAGAAAGAGTAGTTTAGTTTCACTATATAATCAAATATGTTCGTACAAAATTGTTTATTTCTTTGTCAATAAAAACATTTGTCTTCAGTTTTTTTATTTATCAATCCTATTTAATTTATCTAATAAGAGAATATAATATGAGCGTGAATTTGATGAATATGAAGTTTTCTGACATATTAACACAGATATATAAATTCAAAAGTAGATAGAATTTGCTGTTATCATACAATTATGATAATTATACACTTTACAAGTTGCTACAAATTCTCTCTCGGGGTGCGAGTATTAATATCTCGGAAACCACAATAGATACGAACATGGTTAAATTGAGGCAAAGTTACCAGCTTGATGTTTGCCAAGATGCTATCAAAAAAGTTTCAAAAATTTCAAGGATTGCCAAGTTAAAAAAACGGATTTTTTGGAAAATCGATTTTATTTTTTCCCGTCGTTACTTTTCAGAAAGTCTAAAAACTAATAGCACATTTTCATAGCCACTTTATCTATTTGAAAGTATTTTCTTTGGTATTTTTATATTTTCAAAAAATTAGCTAATAGTTTCCGTTGTTAATAATACCGTTGTACTCAGGAGACCGAATTCTTTCAAAACCTGAAATAAAAAATGCCGGTCCGTCTTAAAAAAATCAAGTTGGCCCAGTTAGCCTATGTAACTCACAAATTATCAGCTAATTTGAAAATCTAAAAATACTATCAGGTAGCCGTGATAAAGTGGCTATGAGAATATGCAATTAGTTTTCGGATGATCTAAAAAGTAACGTCAGGAAAAAAAAATGGATTTTCAAAAAATCCGTTTTTCCAAATAACTCAGCAATCCTTAAGATTTTTAAAACTTTTTTGATGGCATCTTGGTGAACATCCCAAAGGTACAACCATAGTATAAGGAAATTAGTAGTTTTACTCCTTGTCAAATCCTTTGTTCTTTTTCTGCAACTTTATATGACCTTGTTCTCGCCTCCGTAGCCGACGACGTAGCTGTATAGTCGTGGTCTATTAACTAAGCAAAGTATAGACGTGGCACTGGCCATAGTTTCACAGATATGCATTTAGGAAAATATGAGTTCACAATAAAATAAAATAAAAAAATGATCATCGAGTAAAAACTTGCTTGAAAACAGAATATTTTCACATTTCGTGTAGGTAACAATTCTTCTGTATCTGAAAATATTCTGATGGAAAGAAATGCGGAAAAAATATATAATGACATATTTTTATATTATTATCTATTTCAGAGATTTTCTACGGCTTTTTTTTTATTTTAAGCAAGTTTAATTTTCTGTAGATAACTGGATTCGGCATAAAATTATGCTATAGTACACTGTCTTTATTTAAAGCACACTGCGGTGTTGCCAATCTATTTCTTATTTACTAAAACTTTGGTTAAAAACATTATATACGAAAAGTGGTAAAAAACTAGAGTGAATATAACTTTATTAATACTTTACTATGTTTTCTTAAACATGAAGGATATCGGAATAAATTCGTGTAGAAAAATTTACTTTATCGTATACAGGATATTTTTTATGGCGTCACCAAAATCGTAATATTTAAAAAATTAAAAAAAATCTCATTTTTTTTAATTGCAACACCTTGTATATTATTCTTCTTTCAGATGTAGAACTAAAAGGTGAACATTTTTTGACAAGTCAAGATAGACAAAGATCATATTAGGTGGGTTTGAAAAAAAATTTACTGTTGAAAGAGCCATATGTAATATAATACTGCGAATATCTGCGACAGCGGTAAAAATTTAGGAACACTTAAATTAATAAAAAAAATGTTCACTTTTTAATTCTGCATCTGACAGAAAAATAATATACAGAATGTCGCATTTAAAAAAGTTGAGATATACCATTTTAAATATTGCGATTTTGGTGACGCCATAAAAAATACCCAATATAGAATAATGTATATAGAATGATGTAAAATAATAAAAAAAATCAAACTAACTTTACCATAACTTTTTTGTGACACCCTGTATATAACAAAATATTTTAGGATACACCCCTTTATAAACCTTGAAACATATGAATAAAACTTTTTCACATCTTCGACAACGACGACGATATTGGACTTCCTCGCACTAATGGGCCACCCTGTATATTTACGGTGGTTTAAAGCTAGGTGTGGCACTTTTCTTCCCTCAAATATAAACTCAATATTTTGTCTATAATATTTTGAATGTTGTTATATTACGACCACTTATAATAAAAAATAAATAAAAAAACATAAAAAAATACAGTCCACTAAATTTAAAAGAGATTATGCTATTATAAAATTCTTTCAATTAAAAAATATGAATAATTTGCGGAGACTTTAGATGTACAAAATATTTACTCTAAAATTGTTTCAAAAACCAATTTATATAAATTATCTCGTAAATTATTATTGGAATGAAAATTTTATGGAAAATCCCCTGACCAAAAAATATTTTCATGCGCATATTTGAGACAACCTGTATATCTAAAAACTATTTTTAAAATCTGCACACATGCTAAAGAAAATAACAACATTTAATTAATTACATAATATCTTAGCTTCTAAAATAAACAAATATAATTAAATGTTAATTGATAATTACTATCAGCTTGCCGATTTACATCCGATGGAAATCTAAAAAGACTGAAAGAACAATTTTTTGAATTATTTCCACAATTAATAGCAGTGCACAGTAAGGCACTCATTTTTTGTCAATTCGTCCCTGTGCTCGGACGCAACGCTCGAACCTCACAGCTTGACGGACCATAGACTTAAAATAAAATATAGACTGAGCATCTCATTCATAAATAGCTGGAACATGCGGTCAGACAATGTCTTGTTATTGTTTTAGGTTATAACGAGTCCGACACGAGCGATAGATAGGTTGTCTCTGTCGTAATCATAGACTTAAAATAAAATATAGACTACACTATTTACATCTCAACGCGGTCAAACAATATTTTTTGTACACATGTTTACTTCTGGGCAGAGTCGACCGAGCCTTCCTCATCCAGCCTATGTTGTCACGTCTTTAATATTATCAATATTTTTTTCTTGTTATACACATATATTGAGATATTAAAACTACAGTTTAATAAAGTAGGTTTTAATATTCCATAGATGTATTAAATAGTCCTTATATTACTAAATTATAATCGGATACTATTTAAAAAGGATAAGTTCTTTACAATATGACAACACCGATTAGAGGCGAGGGAGCATATTCATTCATTTATTACCTTGTAGTACGCGTCGCACGTGTGCGGTAAAGCTTTGTTGCCGCTATGTCCCCGGCTGTATTAACGCATTTTCTTAGCTTGTAGTCCTTAAGTGTTTATTTTATTGACATTTTCTGTTCAAGAACTATAAAATATGGTTCGCCAGTGCCAAATTTGCAAGAAATTTGACTTAAATATTCCATTTAAGTCTTGAAACGACGGTAGGCAACTCTCAATTTACCCATTAGGAGTCAGTGGCGTTGTTGTAGAAAGGCGCTTATTTAGATAATATTTTAGTAAAATGTAAAATCTGAATTTTTTCTCTTACATTACATTATTTACATAATTGTATTATAATTATAACCCTGTTAATAATTAATAATGTTTTTATTAAAAATATATTCCGGTTTATTCTAAAATTATCTTCAGAATCTAAAATAACATACAAGAATTTTAAAATGATATTACATTATGAAACAATATTTTTTAATATACTGGGTCGTCTCAAAAGTGGCTCACCCCTATAACTTTTTTATTTTTTCAGATAAAAAATACAGATTTGTATGTTAGTAGGTATATGACATAAATTAGGATTTATTGACGTATTCAATTGTTTTTGGTCTCTTCCTGTTTCACTGAAATTATTACATCTTTTGATTTTTAAAGGCACCTTCGGTATATTGCTACTTTATTCGATAAAAAATGACACTCTGGATAGAATGACATATCGTATGTCAACTTCTGACATTGTCGCTTAAAAACAAATCGTATTTTAAATTTCAATCCAAGGTGCCATGGTGTTAAAAACACTAAGTTTTAATCAAGGAGCCTTGGAAAAATAGTTTTGATCGTCTAATGGGTTTCGTGTCTTGTCTAGGCCGGTTAAAAGATGTGCAAATCGTATTTTTAATCATACATATGTCAATTTTTTCAAATGGAACAAGGGTGATATTTTAATTAGCATATTTGGGAAAAACATTTTTTATGAATATATTGATACCACACACTTGGTATTTCGAGTCAAATTGTCGTTATGAACCGCGTGTTACAATTCCAATTAAACCATACGCGAAAATGTCAAAAGTTGACATATGATATGTCATTCTATTCAGAGTGCCATTTTCTATCGAATAAAGTAGAAATATACGGAGGGTGCCGTTTAAAAATTAAAAGTTATAGTCATTTCCGGTGAAACAGGAAGAGACCAAAAACAATTGAATGCGTCAATCAATCCTAATTTATGTCATATACTAACATACTAAATCTTGTTTTTTATTTGAAAATATAAAAAAATTATGGGGATGAGCCACTTTGGGACGCACCCGGTATAATAAAGACAGTACCGAGTTAAATAAATGTAGTTTTCATTTTATCCACTTCCTATCACCTTCCTCTCTTTAATGGAACAGATTTATGTTTTCTCTAATTTACATAATAAGACTTCACTTAACCAGAAACAAATTACAACAATCATATTTTTTTTCTCTCCCTGTCGCCGATTCTATTATATCTGTGGAATAGATCCTGTTTTGATTAATATTAGGGGTTGTAAATGTTTGACTAAAATTAATAATTTATTATTAATTTCAATTTATTATTATTTCTTCGATTATAAAATTTCTTCAATAACGTGTATTTTATTATTTTTATCCTTTTTGGACTCTAAGACGTTTTTTCTAAACTTTTATTTAAAAAACCTGTCCTAAATCTTAATAAAATATAAAAAAGTTTAAATACAATATATTTTTAATTTAACGATCAAAACTATTTTTCCAAGGCTCCTTCATTAAAACTTGGTGTTTTTAACAACACCATGGCAGCCTGGATTGAAATTTAAAATACGATTTGTTTTTAAGCGACAATGTCAAAAGTTGACATATGATATGTCATTCTATTCAGAGTGTCATTTTTTATCGAATAAAGTAGCAATATACCGAAGGTGCCTTTAAAAATCAAAAGATGTAATAATTTCAGTGAAACAGGAAGAGACCAAAAACAATTGAATACGTCAATAAATCCTAATTTATGTCATATACCTACTAACATACAAATCTGTATTTTTTATCTGAAAAAATAAAAAGTTATAGGGGTGAGCCACTTTTGAGAGACGACCCAGTATATTAAAAATATTGTTTCATAATGTAATATCATTTTAAAATTCTTGTATGTTATTTTAGATTCTGAAGATAATTTTAGAATAAACCGGAATATATTTTTAATAAAAACATTATTAATTATTAACAGGGTTATAATTATAATACAATTATGTAAATAATGTAATGTAAGAGAAAAAATTCAGATTTTACATTTTACTAAAATATTATCTAAATAAGCGCCTTTCTACAACAACGCCACTGACTCCTAATGGGTAAATTGAGAGTTGCCTACCGTCGTTTCAAGACTTAAATGGAATATTTAAGTCAAATTTCTTGCAAATTTGGCACTGGCGAACCATATTTTATAGTTCTTGAACAGAAAATGTCAATAAAATAAACACTTAAGGACTACAAGCTAAGAAAATGCGTTAATACAGCCGGGGACATAGCGGCAACAAAGCTTTACCGCACACGTGCGACGCGTACTACAAGGTAATAAATTAATGAATATGCTCCCTCGCCTCTAATCGGTGTTGTCATATTGTAAAGAACTTATCCTTTTTAAACAGTATCCGACTTATAATTTAGTAGTATAAGGACTATTTAATACATCTATGGAATATTAAAACCTACTTTATTAAAATTAAGTATTAATATCTCAATATGTGTATAAAAAGAAAAAAAATATTGATAATATTAAAGACGTGACAACATAGGCTGGATGAGGAAGGCTCGGTCGACTGTACCCAGAAGTAAACATGTGTACAAAAAAGATTGTTTGACCGCGTTAAGATGTAAATAGTGTAGTCTATATTTTATTTTAAGTCTATGCGACGGACCGAATTACAGGACCGAATTCAACTGAAACGCTTTGCAATTTGCAACCTGCCAGCTTGCAAAAACTGGCAGAAAATATTTGCGAGAGCAACTACTCTTTTCCTTAAAGTATGGTACAACTTTGCCTCAATTTAATCATTACCGATTAGTTACCGAGATACCATAATGCTCGTACCTCGAATTTGTAGTACCCTGTATTGTTAAACAAATCGTTACTTACAAATTTATAAGTGCCATATGATTTGAGATTTAGACACTTCAGATTTTTTTTATCTCCGATTATTGACATACACATACAGGCCCGAAATCTACAACCATTGATATTTTAAATATTTAATTTGTTATAAATAAAAAATGCGTTGAATAATTTTGTAGTGTAAAATTGTTAAGTTAAAAATACAAAAATTTTAATTGCACAAAAGTTCAATTTACTCTACACATATTTTTCATGTCTTGATATTCAGATTTAAAAATAATCTTGTAAAAAAATATATTTAGGACCTGAACAAATAACTTATATAAATAAACTAGTCATCAACTTAATTTGTAAAAATTTTAAAATTTACATTAAAACGCGCCTTTTCAGTTTGTAAGTTGTTAGCATAGGATGTTAGGTATATAAAATATTTATACAATGGCTGTTGCTGTGTTTTCTGTATTTCCGGTTGTAAATAAATTAAGGGAACTTTTACCAACAGTGAATTTTATTGAAGTTCAAGAAACAGGTATAGTAAAATTTATATATGTTATGGCTAATATGGATAATTGGCTAGTCTTAAAACTAACCAGCAATTTTGCAAACTAAAAGCGCTGCTATTTTGAAGAAATCAGGACATTCTTGCAAAATAGCGGACAACCAGCAGCTAGTTTACAATTTAATTGGTGAGTATGCAAATTTGTTTAAGTCAGCTTACAAAATCTATTTCTGTTCTTGTTAAAGTAGAGTTTTTGGGTAGTGAATTATATAGATATACTTCTTGAATTTGGTAACTATCAACTTATTAAACTTCTCCCTACAACCGTCGTCACCTCCTGGGTTGGCTAATTATTTGGTATCCGGTTTTCTATTTTGTATTTTTTTAAGAAACTAGTAAATAATTATCCTAAGTTAATAAAAACCATATAAATATCGTACGTCTACTGGATCTGTATCTACGAAAGGAATTTCAAGAATGCAGATACAATATTGGAATATGATCAGTTTACTACGATACATATTTAAATAAACAGCAATATATTTTTATAGATCGCTACCTATATGTATACACGCGGCAGAGTCCACGTGGACTTGACCAGTATGTCACCGCAAAACACACTCCGCCCAGTCATTATATTGACCACCTGCAAATTTGTCGAATTTTAATTTACGGGATTCATCGTCTAATTTTTTACCAGAGCGGTAGTAGACCGATCTTGGAGAACAGTGCAGTCGTTATCAATAAAATAGATGCGTAATTTTATTATTTTTTTATTGTTTTTCTTCTTAATTTTTATAAGGATTATGTCTCATTTACGTGGAAAAACGTTGGAAAAAATAAAACTGCTTTTGGAAATGTTTATATAAGTAAATTATGTTATTTAAAATATTTATAGCACCATATGAATTGCTTGCTAACAGATAATTTCTTTTCCCCTTTACAGATGCCCCGTAGCTACAGAACGGCTCGATGCTCGATGTACCGTAGGTGTACAAGCACACACAATTCAACCTGCATAAATTAAGTTATAACCTCACAATTATGCTGCAAGTAAAGTTATAGAGGGTCTATTGTTAATTTATAAACTAACAATCTTGCTATTTTGAATGATTAATACTAATGGAGTTATCATATTCAGCAAAATCATAAAAGGCTATTATACAAACTAACTAAAATGACTGGTTAATATTAAAACAATAATATAAAATCCTGACATTAACCAAAACAAAAATATATAGTTTGCAAACTAACCATTTAGTTTAGAAGCTAGCTGCTGGTCACCATCCTTTGATTGCCAGCTTTGCTGCTGATAAACCTTTAAGTTAGTTTGCAAAATAGCTGGTTAGTTTTAAAACTAGCCAAGTATCCATTTTAGCCGTAACAGATTATACAAAGTAAAAAAATACTTTTTTCTGTTAATGAATAAATCAGATTTTTTGTCATTAATAATTTTACTTACAGATCCTTCACCTTTATATACAGCAGAAATTATACTAGCAGATTATGATAAAGTCGGACCTCATATACATAAACTACAAAACATTAAATGGCTTCAGGCTACATGGGCAGGAATAGACTTTTTAAAACGATACATAGATATAAAGAATCCACCAAAGTTTATTGTAACAAGAATATCAGGTCAGAATCTAGGTCAAATGATGGCAGAATATGTAGTGGCAAATGTAGTCTTTCAAGAAAGAAATTATTTTGAGGTAATTGAAAAATTTAATACCCACTTCTCTTTAAAATTAAGAGATATATTAAAAGTAACTTTAAATCCAAGATTTCATATTTTATGATCTTTTTGAATAGCGTACATTTTGGTTTAACTTTTTAAAGTGTCTATGTTTTTAATACTTCTTATGTAATTTTAATGTTTAACCACAACTTATTCACTGTCAGTTAGTATTTGAGTATTCGCGCATGTTCTCGTACGAGCATGCAGGCAATGAGAGCTCCAGCCTGGATATGTTTTTATACTCGGAGCTTCAATTGTATATATGCTATATATGCTTCAATCGTATATATGCTTTGCTATAATTGTTCAGTAAATAATCTAAGTTAGATTTTTTTTATGTGGTCTGTTCCACTGCGATCTTTTCAGATCTATTGCGGTCCTCTTCTGATTTTTAGGTTACATTCTCAAGTTATATCCATTTCAAAAGGACTATATTGCTCCATATAGCTCTTTGTTGATGGCTTATCAGTGGCGGGTAGAAAAAGAATCGCACATTTGCCAGGCTGTCGCATCGACATAAGATGTGTTCTATCGTTTCTTTTTCCGATTTACAAAATCTGCACATGGCTTCGTCTGTCAATCCCATCAGCTTTAGATGCCTATTAAGTTTACAATGCTCTATTAGTAGGCCCACTATAGCATTGACTGTCTATCTGTCTTTGCTTATCAGGTCTGCCATAAATTTTGGGAAATGTTCTACTATGAACTTTTTCGCGGAAGGATTCTGCGCCTATGTATGACACTGATGCGCATTGGTTGTCCTGCCTTTTCGTTACCATTGATTGTGGCCCTTGTGCCTATGCCGAAGTAACATTGCTACGCTTATCCATGTAAATGATCTAAGTCAACTGGGCTGGAACTCTGTAACTGAATAGCGATCGGTAGCGATGAAGAATACTGAGCTTGGCCGTACAAACTAAACAGCAAGCGACAGTATTTCTCATCGCTGCCGATCGCTATTTCGTTACAGAGTTCCACCAAAGAATATCTTAATACCCTAGAAGTCTCGTCTGGCCTCAAAATCTGACCTGTCGATGGGGCCTCGCTTTGGCGAGCGAGGCCCCAACTTCGTGGAGCCTCGCTATTTTGCTCGGAATTGAACGAATAGACGCGCGGCGTTGCCTTGTTTTGTGTGTACTTTCTTGAATAGTTTTAAATTATAGTTTTAAATTTTATCTATTGCTATAATCAGTCTTTCCGTTCTCCGCACTCCGCCAGTTTACATATAATATTATCTTATATAATTCCCGTGTTACAGTTTTCGTTACCGTACTCCTCCGAAACGGCTTAACCGATTTTGATGAAATTTTATATGTATATTCAGTAGGTCTGAGAATAGGTAGTTATATATTTTTTATACCCTTAAATGATAAGGGTAGTCCACCCCCATTTTTTTATTTTGTGAAAAAACAATATTTTAATTTTTTTTTTATTTGGCATTAAAAAATACAAACAACACTAAATTTTCACCGTTCTACTTTCATCCCCTATTTTTTAATAGGGGTTGTTTTTTTAATTTTACGAACGAAACGGCTTAACCGATTTTGATAAAATTTTATATGTATATTCAGTACGTCTAAGAATAAGTTGTTATCTATTTTTATACCCTTAACTGATAAGGGTAGCCGAGAGGGTAACCCACCCTTATTTTTTTTAGTTTTTGAAAAGAAAAAAATGTTTTTTATTTTTTTATTTGGCATTAAGAAATACAAACAACCCTAAATTTTCACCGTTCTGCTATCATCCCCTATTTTTAATAGGGGTTGTTTTTTTTTTGTTGCCATCTCCGAAACGGCTTAGCCGATTTTGATGAAATTTTATAAGTATATTGAGTAGGTCTGAAAACAGGTTGTTACATATTTTTTATACCCTTAAGTGATAAGGGTAGCCCACCCCCATTTTTTTTATTAAAAAAATATTTTTATTTTTTTTATTTGGCATTAAAAATACAAACAACCCTAAGTTTTCACCGTTCTACCATCATCCCCTATTTTTTAATAGGGGATGTTTTTTTAATTTTTGTTACCATCTCCGAAACGGCTTGATCGATTTTGATAAAATTTTATATGTATATTCAGTAGGTCTGAGAATAGGTAGTTATATATTTTTTATACCCTTAAGTGATAAGGGTAGTCCACCCCCATTTTTTTATTTTGAAAAAAAAAATATTTTAATTTTTTTTATTTGTCATTAAAAAATACAAACAACCCTAAATTTTCACCGTTCTACCATCATCCCCTATTTTTTAACAGGGGTTGTTTTTTAAGATTTTTTGTTACCATCTCCGAAACGGCTTAACCGATTTTGATAAAATTTTATTTGTATATTCAGTACGTCTAAGAATAGGTTGTTATCTATTCTTATACCCTTAAGTGATAAGGGTAACCGAGAGGGTAGCCCACCCTCATTTTTTTATTTTTGGAAAAAAAATTATTTTTTTATTTGGCCTTAAAAAATATAAACAACTCTAAATTTTCACCGTTCTACCATCATCCCCTATTTTCTAATAGGGGTTGTTTTTTTGATACCATCTCCGAAACGGCTTGGCCGATTTTGATGACATTTTATTATGTATATTGAGTAGGTCTGAAAATAGTTTGTTGTCTATTTTTTATACCCTTAAGTGGTAAGGGTAGCCCACCCCCATTTTTTTATTTTTTGAAAAAAAAATATTTTAATTTTTTTTATTTGGCATTAACCCATTTTATCCCATTGGTGCATGAATGCACCAGCAACTTATGAAAATCAAATTTCGATTAAAATATTGTTTTGGAGCCTAGATTTTTCTACCCATTCGTTGATAATAGATTTTTGTTAATAAAAATACTTATTGAGGCTTTTCTTCTCCTCGGGTAATAAAAAATACAAACGTATAAAATGTGACAAAATAAATCTGCAAAAACTATATAATGGAATTTTGAAAAATTTCCACATTTTAATAATTATTTCCATTTTTTTATTACTACTACTAATCTGTCATGATCTTCCGTTTTTATGATAAAAAGGATGATTTACCACAGTCTCTATAAAAACCTTAATTTTTCTCCAAAATATTAGTGGTGCATTCGCGCACCGCTGGTAATAAAAATAAACTAGAAGCCGAATTTTGCCGGTCTTGACAAGTTTTGACGAACGTGTGCACAGTCATAATAATCGAATAAATGCGTTATTATTAGTTTGTGTTTCGTGTTATATGCATGTAAGTTAGCTAAGATGCCTTATAAACGATTTTTGACGCAAAGACAATTAGAAGAGGAATTGGAAAGTGTTGTTTTTGAGCTGGAAAATGATAATAATGGTAAGAAATCACTTACTTACATCTATAGTTTATAATTCAATAAAAATTTTGTTTTTTATTATTAGTTGTACTGGATGCAGTTTATATACCTCCAGACACCGATGCTTTGACAGATGAAGAAGATATAGATGATGAGAATATATTGGCGGAAACGGCAAAGCCAAACGATATTGTCGGTACTTTCGAACTTCACATCCCTAGCTCTTCCAATTCTGTAGATGTCGATCAAAATGTACGAAAACAATACGATTGGGACTCTTCTGATGAAGAAACTTTAGAAACCAAAAAACGAAAAATTACTGCTTCAGTTTCCCGTAATACTGTTCTTGCACCGCAGTGGCTCAAAGGAGAAATAGAATATACACACTCTCCAATATCAACTGAACATCAAGACAAAGAAAACGTAGCTGTAGCTGTAGGTGGTAAGACACCTTTAGAAGTGTTCTTTTTATTTTTTGACGAAGAAGTGACAGACTTAGTTTTGAGATATTCACATAAATATGCTGCAGATAATAATAGACATGACTTCATAGTCTCTAAGGAAGAATTGTTAAATTTTATAGGAATAATGTATCTTTCCGGATATCACACTTTACCACAAACTTCAATGTACTGGTCCACTGAGGAAGACAAAGGTGTGGGCATAGTGAAAAATTGCATGAGTAGAAACAGGTTTTATAGTATAAAACGAAATTTGCATCTGTCTGACAATGAACAATTAGACAAAAATGATAAGTTCTCCAAAATAAGGCCTTTTGTGGACATAATCAATAGAAAAAACTTGCAATGGGGAATTTTCAATTTTCATTTATCAATTGATGAACAAATGGTGCCATATTTTGGAAGGCATTCTTGTAAAATGTTCATCAAAGGCAAGCCGGTACGTTTTGGCTTCAAGCTTTGGTGCCTATGTTCTTCTGACGGGTATTTATTTTATACAATGCCATATGCTGGGAATCAAAAAAAAATATATTCTGAGCTTGGACTAAGCGGTGACGTTGTAATGAGTTTGTTGTCTGTTATCCAAAAGCCCAGCAACCATGAAATTTTTTTCGACAATTTTTTCTCATCTTTTCGATTATTTTCTCACCTGAAAAACACTGGTTACTTTGCTACTGGAACTATCAGAGAAAATAGGACGAATAATTGCCCTCTAGAAAATAGTAAAAGTTTTTCGAAAAAAGAACGCGGCGCTTTTGATATGGCATATGATAAAGATTCGAAAGTTTCAGTTGTACGTTGGAATGATAACTCTTGCGTAACGCTTTGTAGTAACGTACATAATGTGCAACCTATAAATAAAGTCAAACGTTATAATAGAAAAGAAAAAAAAGATGTTTTTGTTCCACAGCCTAATGTAATCACACAATATAATAAATATATGGGAGGTGTGGATTTGCACGATAACGGAATAGCCAATTACAGAACCAGAATTTTGGGGAAAAAATGGTGGTGGCCTTTATTCTGTAATACTTTGGACAGTATTATGGTGAATGCTTGGAAGCTTTATAATGTTGCTAACAATAGTAAAATATCTCAAATCGATTTCAAATCATATGTTGCACTACGTCTAATGAAATCTACAAGAGTTGCTGCAGTTATTAGAAACATTCCACAATCTATTGACGAAATTCGCTTTGATAATCAAGGCCACACCATTGTTTTCCACGAAACTAAGGCTCGAAGGAGATGTAGAGTTTGCCATAATCATAGTATGTATATATGTCAAAAATGTAAGGTACATTTGCATGTTCCGTGCTTTGCTACGTATCACCAAAAGTAATAATCTTTGTTACCAGTGGTTCATACATGCACCAAATAAAAGTTGATAAATTAGTTGTTTTTGAGCGTTTTAGTGTTTTATTTTATACTTCTAAGTAGAATGTAAGATAATTCCGATGTGTTAAGTGTACTTTAGTAGGGTTTTTATCAGTTAGGAATATTTTTAGAAAAGTTTTATTTAGTTTTTTATACCAGTGGTTCGCCAACGCACCACTATTATTTTTTTTAAAAAATGAATTGGGAATTTTCCAAAACATGAAATTTGTCTTTTTATATGTATAATAATAAAAGTATTTAAAAAAAAATGTTTTTTTTTATATATTTCTATCCCCGGGAATAAATGGGTTAAAAAATACAAACAACCCTAAATTTTCACCGTTCTACCATCATCCCCTATTTTTCAACAGGGGTTGTTTTTTAAGATTTTTTGTTACCATCTCCGAAACGGCTTAACCGATTTTGATAAAATTTTATATGTATATTCAGTACGTCTAAGAATAGGTTGTTATCTATTCTTATACCCTTAAGTGATAAGGGTAGCCGAGAGGGTAGCCCACCCTCATTTTTTATTTTTGGAAAAAAAAATTTTTTTTTGGCCTTAAAAATACAAACAACTCTAAATTTTCACCGTTTTACCACCATCCCCTATTTTCTAATAGGGGTTGTTTTTTTGATACCATCTCCGAAACGGCTTGGCCAATTTTGATGAAATTTTATAAGTATATTGAGTAGGTCTGAAAATAGGTTGTCATATATTTTTTATACCCTTAAGTGATAAGGGTAGCCCACCCTCATTTTTTTATTTTTGGAAAAAAAAATAATTTTTTTTATTTGGCCTTAAAAAATACAAACAACTCTAAATTTTCACCGTTCTACCATCATCCCCTATTTTCTAATAGGGGTTGTTTTTTTGATACCATCTCCGAAACAGCTTGGCCGATTTTGATGACATTTTATTATGTATATTGTGTAGGTCTGAAAATAGTTTGTTATCTATTTTTTATACCCTTAAGTGGTAAGGGCAGCCCACCCCCCATTTTTTATTTTTGAAAAAAAAAATAATTTTATTTTTTTATTTGGCATTAATAAATACAAACAACCCTAAATTTTCACTGTTCTACCATCATCCCTATTTTTTAATAGGGGTTGTTTTTAAGTTTTTGTTACCATCTCCGATTGACCGATTTTGATAAAATTTTATATGTATGTATATTCAGTACGTCTAAGAATAGGTTGTTATCTATTCTTATACCCTTAAGTGATAAGGGTAGCCGAGAGGGTAGCCTACCCTCATTTTTTAGTTTTGAAAACAAATATTTTTTTTATTTGGCCTTAAAAAATACAAACAACTCTAAATTTTCACCGTTCTACCATCATCCCTATTTTTTAATAGGGTTGTTTTTTTAAAGTTTCTTGTTACCATTTCCGAAACGGTTTTGCCGATTTTGATGAAATTTTATTATGTATATTGAGTAGGTCTGAAAATAGTTTGTTATCTATTTTTATACCCTTAAGTGATAAGGGTAGCCATTCCCATTTTTTATATTTTGAAAAAATATTTATTTTTATTTTTTATTTTGCATTAAAAAATACAAAGAACCCAAAATTTTCACCGTTCTACCATCATCCCCCCTATTTTTAATAGGGTTTGTTTTTAATTTTTGTTACCATCCGTGAAACGGCTTTGACCGATTTTGATAAAATTTTATATGTATATTCAGTACGTCTAAGAATAGGTTGTTATCTATTTTTTTATACCCTTATGTGGTAAGGGTAGCCCACCCTCATTTTTTATTTTTTGAAAAGATAAAATGTTTTTATTTTTTTTGTTGGCATTAATAAATACAAATAACCCTAAATTTTCACCGTTCCACCATCATCCCCTATATTTTAATAGGGGTTGTTTTTTTTAAATTTTTTGTTACCATCTCCGAAACGGCTAAACCGATTTTGATAAAATTTTATATGTATATTCAGTAGGTCTGGTTTGGTTTGGTTTGGTCACAACCTATTCCTAGGGTGTTATCTATTTTTATATCCCTAAGTGATAAGAGTGGCCCACCCCAACTTTTTTTTTTTAGACAAATTTTGTATTTTAATTGTTTTATAGGGAGTGCTTATTTTTTAAGGGGTACATGTCCAAAATTTTCTTCTGGGTACACACTTTCATCACTTAAGGGACCTCTGTACAAAATTGCATACTCCTAGTCCTAGAACGGATTTTACATAAAAATTATACAAATTTTTACCCTTAGTTTTACCCCCTTAAGGAATGAATTCCAAAAATCGCTCTAATTATTCAATTACGCTACATAATAAACCTCTGTGCAAATCATCATATACATCATAATCATATTCCTTGAACAGAATTTATTGTTCCAGAACGTTCAACCCTTCATTTCACACCCTTAGAGGGCGAATTTGCAAAAATTGCTTCTTAGTGCTAAATTACGTTACATAAGGAACGTCTGCAAAATTCATACTTCTACAACCGATTTTAACAAATTTTTGTACAAATTTTCATCCCTTATTTTTTAGGGGATGCATGCCTAAAATTCGCTTCTAGGTACTCACTTTCATCATTTAAGGGACCTCTGAACAGAATTTCATACTCCTAGTCCTAGAACGGATTTTACATAAAAAATTGTACAAATTTTCACCCCAAGTTTTACCCCCTTAAGGAATGAATTCCAAAAATCACTCTAATTATTCAATTACGCTACATAAGGAACCTCTGTGCAAATTCTCATATTCCTTGAACAGAATTTATTGTTCCAGAACATTCAACCCCTCATTTCACACCCTTAGAGGGCGAATTTCCAAAAATTGCTTCTTAGTGCTAAATTACGTTACATAAGGAACGTCTGCAAAATTCATACTTCTAAAACCGATTTTAACAAATTTTTGTACAAATTTTCATCCCTTATTTTTTAGGGGATGCATGCCTAAAATTCGCTTCTAGGTACTCACTTTCATCATTTAAGGGACCTCTGAACAGAATTTCATACTCCTAGTCCTAGAACGGATTTTACATAAGAAATTATACAAATATTTTCACCCCTAGTTTTACCCCCTTAAGGAATGTATTCCAAAAATCACTCTAATTATTCAATTACGCTACATAAGGAACCTCTGTGCAAATTCTCATATTCCTTGAACAGAATTTATTGTTCCAGAACATTCAACCCCTCATTTCACACCCTTAGAGGGCGAATTTCCAAAAATTGCTTCTTAGTGCTAAATTACGTTACATAAGGAACGTCTGCAAAATTCATACTTCTAAAACCGATTTTAACAAATTTTTGTACAAATTTTCATCCCTTATTTTTTAGGGGATGCATGCCTAAAATTCGCTTCTAGGTACTCACTTTCATCATTTAAGGGACCTCTGAACAGAATTTCATACTCCTAGTCCTAGAACGGATTTTACATAAAAAAATTATACAAATATTTTCACCCCTAGTTTGACCCCCTTAAGGAATGAATTCCAAAAATCACTCTAATTATTCAATTACGCTACATAAGGAACCTCTGTGCAAATTCTCATATTCCTTGAACAGAATTTATTGTTCCAGAACGTTCACCCCCCCTTTCACACCCTTAGAGGGCGAATTTCCAAAAATTGCTTCTTAATGCTAAATTACGTTACATAAGGAACGTCTGCAAAATTCATACTTCTAAAACCGATTTTAACCTTTTGTACAAATTTTCATCCCTTATTTCTAAGGGATGAATGTCAAAAATTAGCTTCTAGGTACTCACTTTCGTCACTTAAGGAAACTCTGTACAAAATTTTATACTCCTAGAACTAACACTTTTGTACAAAATTTCACCCCCAGTTTCACTACCCTTAGGCTATACATTTCCAAAAATCGCTTATCAATGTTCAAATGCGCCACATCTGTGCAAAGTTCATACTCCTAGTAGGTACAGATTTTTTTTTGTATAATTACATCCCTTTATCTAATTACACCCCCTTATGGGTCGAATTTTAAAAAATTACTTAGTAGTGCTCATCTTAGAGAACGAATTAATATTCTCTGTATTTACTCCAGTTTCCTAATACTAGCACAGATAACACATAATCATACTAGTTAATTTTTTATTGGAATAGAAGTAATTTTTATTAGAAGGTACAAAAAAATTAAAAATCTAAAATTTTATTTTCATAGCTACGTTTTTATAGCCTTAGGCCTCATGTACTAACGAATACGAAATATATAATCAATACATATTTCTTTAAATATCGAGAAATAAAATATGTTTGGCAACACCGTACGAAATATCGCCGCGCGTAGTCCTCAAAATTTAAAATATTAGCATTTTCAGGCTTCGATTATGTTCAAAAGCGCCACCGTATGACAAATCACTAAAGCTTCCACACGAGAGTTCTTAAAACTATAATATTCTTTGGTTCCACCCCTGGCTGCCTAGTGAATAGGCTGTGTTTAACAAGTAACTCATAATTGGCTGTTGTCGCTGTCAAAGACATAACATATCAGTGATATAATAAAAAAACGAAATTAAATATTTTTTGACTACTGTGTCGTTTTCATTCATTTTTTGTCAATTAAATATTTGTTTCTATATAAGATAATATATAAGTTATTACAATATAGGTGAGAGAAAATCAGAAAAAATCTTTTTGGAACTCGGGCCCATACGTATATAATTTTAGATCTATATCAGAATTAACCATTGGCGTTTTAGGAATTGGAAGTATTGGTACCGTAAGTAAGTATATTCCTTTATGTATATGTTTAAGTATCTTTTACGAGCAAATATTATCATTAATCGCACTAATTAGCAGAAATTTGACACCAAAAGGGATATTTTTCGCTAACTTACATTGCACGCTCTAATATCAAACAAAAATAATCATCATATATATAATATTTATATGGTGAATCTTATCGATTGTCATTTCTAAGCCAATTTGACGCCATTTTTTTGAAAGATCGTACTCTATAGGGTGTTTCATGGCGATGGCACGTTAGACGTTTATGGAGATGACGACCGGTGATAGAATTTTTTTGAAAATTTGGATTTTTACAAAAAGACACCTGCTCCATCTATCTAAAATATTTTCAGCGCGTTACAATGTTGCCGCATCGTTTGAAAAGTGGTAGCATCTTTCTTATTTTAAATGGAACACCCGGTATATTATTACATTTCTGGAAACTACTTTCATATCTCATAATTTTTCTATCATACTAACCTATACTTATCTCTAACATTTTTTGAGATAATAAATAAAACATAATATGTAAAATTAACAAAAACATGATCTTGAATAAGCATTGGTATATAAAATCTTTGGTAAAATCATGAATTGAACATTTTAAAAGGTGAAATTTGAGTTATAAATTAACGAAAGTCTATATATTCGATCTATTTAAATCAACTCACTCATTGGAATTCCACAGGGAGAGACAAAAAATATTTATTTCTGTTTGTTATAAAATTGCCGAAATCTTTATTATTTGAAATTCAACCCTATGTATATTATTTAAAAAATCAAAAGACTAATAAAATAGTTTTTCAACGATATGATATATCATGTTCCTAAACCTTCCTTTATAGTCTCATTTCAAAAATTTCGTTACTATGGCAATTTTAGAAGTTTTGGAAGCAAACCCTAATTGATACTTATAAAGTTTGAATATCTGACTGATCTGGTAACGATTTTCTTTAAACGAACTATAATAGAATTATTATCTTTTAAATGGCCTCACTGAAGAAACCAGGTTTAGGTATAGGAACATGATATATCGTTGAAAAGCAAATAAAATTTTTTTTATTTGTGTTTGGATTTTTTTAATAATATTCATAGGCTGGAATTTAAAATAACAATGATTTGAGCGATTTTATAACAGAAATATTTTTTTTTCATCTCCCTCCAAATTTCAGCTTTCAATATGCCAAATTTATGATTTAACCTAAGGATTTAACCAATGCTTATTCAAGATCAGGATTTTGTTAATTTTACACGTTTTATTTTTTATCGTAACTCTAGTTGAAATTGGTTTAGGTTAGTATAATAGAAAAATTATTAGATATGAAAGTAGTTTTAAAAAATGTAATAATATACCAGGTATTCCATTTAAAATGACAAAAATGCTACCACTTTTAGTATGAAGCGGTAACACCGTAACGCGGAAAAGAATTTAGACAAATGGAGCAAGCGCCTTTATGCAAAAATCCAAATTTTTAAAAAAATTCCATCACCGGTTCTTATTAAATATTTAGAAAATAAATTAATTATTTAGAGCAATTTTTACAAATTTTCAGTCGGTAAAACGTTAAAATATTTGGGTGCTACAGTTTATGGATATGGTAGAAGAGAATCACTGTCTTTAGAAAATGAGGAATACCAACATATTAGCCAATATTTTAATACAGCCAATCTCAAAGAAATTCTGTCTAAAGTTGATTATGTAGTTAACGTCTTACCCTCTACACCTGAAACAAATGACATTTTAGGCAACGGAATTCTAGAGAATTGTAAAGGTGAGTTATGTCTAATGTTCAAAGTCTTGGTTTTGTGGCAAATTGTAAACCTTCTATTTTTAATTAATTAATTATAAACTCACGATAATAAGACATGAACGTAATCGCGCGTCCACCACATCTTGCACCACCTTGTATATGTTTTTGGTATCTACAAGTTCCTTTATACAGGGCGTTTCAAAAGATGTGCCATTCGCGTGGGGGGATTCCTTACGTAAAAATATAATATATTTTTTTTATATCAACATACTACATAGGTCCGATTCTGCTGTGCTTCATAGTAACAAGGCGGTAAAGTCTTCATTTTTTCTCGATTTATTGTAATTTTCTTCCAAGTGCTTTTAGCGATTGGCATGAAATTTTGGGGGTAAAAGTTACTATAAGTTCGATATATTTGATTGCTAAAAAAGCGTCGACACATTCATCAGGGACGTGCTTATGGGTTATAACTGGAATATTTTTCTAAAAACAAAACATGTACGCCATTGACTTTTTTTTTTCTATTGTTATCAAAATTGTGTAGACTGTTCAATGCCAATTAAAAGTTGTCTCTATATATTTTTTCGATTTCGATCTCCTTGATGAGATAAACGCATTTTTGTTAATTTGCCATAACCCAAGTCTAATAGCAACCTTTAATTTTTTTTAATATTATTAATTGGCCAAAGTGTTAAATAAGTATTCATTGATTCCTCATCAAAAAATATGAAAAAAGTCCCTATAACATGGGTGCAGAAATGCATAGTTTTAGAGTTACAGGATGTTATAATTTTTAAAAAATCGGTCTTTTGTAATTATCTTAAATATCTACCATTATTATTGGAATTTGCTGTACGTAGCACTAAACATCATTGTTATAAATTTTAATAAAATTTAATAATAAATTAGATTAAATAAATAATTTATTTATTATATTTTTATTAATTGTAATTAATAAAAGTGCGTTTATCTAAAGAAGATCAAAATCGACAAAATATCAAGATACAACTTTTAGTCGGCATTAAAAGGTCTACACAATTTTGCTAAAAACAGAAAAAAGTCAGTAGCGCATATGCTTTCTTTGAAAATCGAAAAAAAAAATGAAGACTTTAACCCCCTGTAACTACGAAACAAAGCAGACTCGGACCTATGTTGATATAGAAAATAATTTTTATTTTTACGAGAGATGGCACATGTTTTTTGGAACACCCTGTATAGAGAAATCTGTGACAAGATTGCGACGTGCATTCCACAACAACTTTTATTTATTTTCCTATACCGGGTGCGTCTCTAAACTGGCTCACCCCTATAACTTTATTTTTGTAGTTACAAAAACGAAATTTGATATGTTAGAATATGACATAAATTAGGATTGATTGACGTATTCAATTTTTTATTCAAAAACTTTTGATTTTTAAATGGCACTCCCGGTATTTTTTTACTTTATTCGACAGAAAATGACACTCTCAATAGAATGACATATCATAATATGTCAATTTTTGACATTTTCGCATATGGTTTATTTGAAATTATAACTTGCGATTCGTAAGGAAAATTTGACTGGAAATACCAAGTGTGTGGTATCAAATTATTCGTAAAAAATGCTTTTTCCAATTATGCTAATGAGCCACCCTCGTTCCATTTGAAAAATTGAGATATGATTAAAAATACGATTTGAGCATTTTCTAACGCCAGGACAAGACACTAAAAACACTAGACGATTAAATCTATTTTTCCAAGGGTCCTTGATAAAGAATTAGTGTTTCAAAGATAGCCATGGCACTCTAGATTGAATTTTAAAATACAGTTTTTTATTAAGCGAGAATGTCAAAAGTTGACATATGGTATGTCATTTTATTCAGAATGTCATTTTCTAGCGAATAAAGTAAAAAAATACCGAGGGTGCCATTTAAAAATCAAAAGTTGTAGTCATTTCGGGTGAAATAGGAAGTGACCAAAAACAATTGAATACGCCAATCAATCCTAATTTATGTCATATACTAACATACCAAATCTCGTTTTTCTATTTGAAAAAATAAAAAAGTTATAGGGGTGAGCCACTTTTGAGACGCGCCCGGTATATAAATAAATATTATTATTAATAATAATAATTTGTTTATACAGGGCGAGTCTTAAATAAGTGCAAATATTTTCAGGGCTGGTAGATCTCGATAAAAGAAACATATTTTCTCTTTATCATTTTTCAGATAAATCCAAAATAACCGAGTTATTTAAGTTTGAAAATTAAAAAAAAAATTATTTTTTTTGAAAAAATTTTGAGAGCCACCGGATTTTTTCTGTATTTGCATCCCTTTTAGTGCCGTAACCATAGAGTAAAGCCGTAATTATGGTAATATCAGAGATTCAGAAATTATACAGTGGGAAAATTTGCGGTGAACAGGCAGTAAAAAGTTTTCGAAAAATATACAGGGAAATTTAAAAGAAAATGCGCGATTTTCAACATCTCTGTTTTGCGAAGAAAAAACTCATAGACGTGTTTCTGGGGTATAAATATACCACCAGTGAAAATATTTGCACTTATCTAAGACTCACCCTGTATTGGACTTTCAGGAAGAAATACAGTATTTATAAACGTTGGAAGAGGCAATGTAATCAAAGATGCTGAAATAATACGTGCTCTAAAAGAAAAATGGATCTCTGCAGCTATCTTAGATGTTATCGAAAAAGAACCTCTGTCAGAGGATAGTCCACTTTGGAAATTAGATAACGTAAGTTAATTGATACATATACAGTGTCCTGCAACAGTGCGTCGGGCACCTATATGTCCTTTAATAAAAAACTTAGTAATTTCGTTTAAGTGTAGCTCTAAACTGTGTACTAATATTTCTTTTTCTGCACTGGAAACAAAATTTCTATTATCTTGCTGGACCCTGTATACATTGTTTGTGATAAAAACTGCATATTTTAGGTTTTTATAACACCGCACATATCCGGCAGTAGTCGTGCTCACGATATAGCCCAACAATTCAAGACCAACTATGAGAGATATCAGCAAAATCAGCCACTCATCTATCAAGTAGATTATGAAAGGGGTTATTAACTTTACTTCAAAATTAATAACTATAAGTTTAATTATTCACTTAATCCACTGTATAGGTACAAAATAAATAATATCATTATACTTTATGTCTTATAATAAATAAAAAAAAAACATAGTTGTTCCTCAGTATCTCATTTAACACTTTTAAAATATATATTTTACCAATAGATTCACTCTAAGCTCAAAAACACTTTTAAATATGAGTTCCCAATGAAGATATTATTCCTACATAGACTGTGTAATGAGAGAATCTGCGATCGTGACAGCTGTGTCTGTCATTTTAATTCACAGGTAAACTATATTTTCTGTCATTTTTGGATGACGTCTGTAGAAATCTACCCTGACTCGTTGAACAGACTATAGCATTTTTCAGCTTATAATGATCGCATTGCACGAACTTTTATAGAACCAATAATTACCTTTACTGAGATAATATAAAAGGATAAATACACTTCAAAGCCCCATTAACAGAGCGAATGAACTTATTGGAATGTTCGAGGGAGCTGACGCTTGCCTAACGCTCATTTCCCAAGTGTCCAGCAGTTGAGACAGAGAGAAATGTTTCGGAAGCTTCTTAACTCTAGCCTGCAAAGAACCAAAACACATATTAATTATATACTAAGAGACTTCCTACGCCTATTTAAAAATAAGTATATTTCTTTAAATTCTAGACATTCAGTTTTAAGACACTTTGTGTACATAAATAAAATTATTGATTTTTAAAATATTATTCGCAAACTAGAGAAAGGGAAATCCGACGACGAACGGAGATGATATAGGTGTTAGGGAATAGCTTTTAGACCACCGTCTAAAAGTTTCCATATGGCAACAAATCAAAATTTTATATGAAAATATTTCAAATAAATTCAGGAGGCAATGTGTTAAATCTAAATTTAAAAAATGTAAATAGAACTGATATAAAATGTTATATAATTGATAAAATTATATGACAAGATAAAATTCCAAAAACTAGAGATTTTCTATTCGAATATTCTTTGCTTTAATCATCAAATTACACTATTTCAAATATTTTTATGTACTTTTATATTGTAGGTACAACGATACATATGACTTTATCAATTACGTATTTACTTAACAACGCATAAAGATAAATTCAAAATAGTTTGGAAATTTTGAAAATATATTTAAAATATCTAATTAAGTACTTAAGTAAATTGAAGTGTTCTACAAATATGACTTTTAAACTTCAATTCGATTATTTTTTGTTTAAACAAACCCCCACTTACACAAATTAAATCTAGAGTAATGTCCTGAGATTAAGCTTTATATAGCTAAATATGTATCTACGGTAGCGGATCTGGATTCAGAAATTAACATGATGTAATATTCACATACTATTGAAAAATGATAATAATAATTTTAATTATAATTTAAAGGGTAAGCTGGGGGAAAACATACGATGTCCCAAAACTGACTTTTACAGAGAAAACTGATTTAATGTTGCCAAATACCATACAATCGAAAAAAAAACGGCGTCAGCGACGGCTATGAAATGAAGATCGCTGTCATTTTATATAGAAAATTATATGGCAAATGTCATCGATCGTCATTTCAAAGCCAACCGGACGCCGTTTTTTTTCCGGTCATACGGTATTATGTTAAAGATACAAAAATGTATTATTGTATGCGTTAGTATTTAGACATGGTTTGTTATATCCAGTTACAATTTAGCGTTTAGGTTGATTATTTAAAAATTCCTTTAAAAGAGCATCATTGATTTTTCCTCTTCCCTTCATTTTTAATTAGAGCAAAGAAAATATGTTTGAAAATCAGCTGATTTTTTAAATTTTATTCTAAATTTTCTCGTTTTTTTCGCATTATTCTCGAGAAAAAGAGAGCAAGAGAAAAATAGACAAAAAGAAAAAAAATATTCAGAGTTATTCAGAACACGTTATCCTTCTTTCTGGGCATATTTATATTTTAAGAGTATGTACCTATTAACAATACATACTACAATTTCCTAATTAAAATGTAAATCAGTAGCTACATCTATATAATGGAAGTATAATAGTATACTCTGCGAAATCCCCGAAAACCTGACTTCGACGACAAAGAGGCAAAGAGCCGTAGTTTTTCTGGTGTTAAGTACTGTCACTTGCGAAATATCTATTAAATATAGAGTATCATAAATCTATAGAGAGAGGAAATACAACTACGCCACTTCTGGTTAAACAGAAAGTATCAGTTTTAGATAGAAAGAATACCTGAACACAACCTTAAAACTATCAAACTTGTAGGTATCTAAATCGAATCCTAGAAAATTTTTAATGAACCATTTGCTTAAAAAACCTTGTAGATGACCAACACACTATTGCAAAACCCTATTTGTAAAATTTTTATTTTTTAATATGTACTGATAAAACTTTTCTTACCAGAAGAGCGGTCTGGACATCTGATAAAAATTTGGTTGCATTATACTCGTGAGACGCCATATGACATGTCGGCGATTCTTTAGGATATTCCTCTGGTATCATTAATGATATCGGCGGAACGCATGGAAGATTTCTACGGAATAAAATTCAAATAATCATATATAAAATAACAGTTATGCAGTTATTTACTTATCGTCAAGCCAGCAGGTTAACTGAATACACTTCGAACCAGGTTGCTGATTGGGATCCAGACTAACTTTAAACCGTTGATCTAACCTAGCAATTTCTCCTTGTAGAACATCGGGAATCTCGCTAGTAGGTTCTTCAACACTCAATTTTTTTAATGGCGGTACTAACCTGTAAATAATTGCAATGTGATTATTATATTGTATGATGTGAAAACACTCCTCGAAAAAGGGGAGAGTAAAGGAACCAAGAAACAGCCTGGCAAAAGAAAAAGCCAACCTCAGCTCCGGCAAGGAGAAAAAAGCCAGGATGGAAAGTCATCCAACACCGCGAGGCAAGCTGAGAGGTATTACCACAGAACAGATACAAATCAGAAATTTCACTGAACGTCGGTGCTTTTCAAGTGTGTTGTAAGAATTCCGTTCCTCGCGCACAGATTTCATCCTCCTGCGCGCCGCACAGCCACAAAATATACACCATACAGAAGCGACAAAGAGATTTGCTTCAAAATTTTTAGGAGGGGATAATGCTGGTTAACTGTCAAACGTGACGTCACAGAATTATACACCAAAAAAAATTCACGACCGCAGGTATAATTATTTCTAGATATTATGCATAAAAGACTAAAAAATATATTTCATAATTATTTATTTATTTTTAATTCTAAATAAAAATACTGATTTAAATCCCTCTAGTTTTTAAAACTAAATAAACCTGCCTTTCATCGTTTTCTATTAAAATCTAACAATTTTCTTTCAGTGTGAAATGCTGTTCAAGGCGCACGGATGTCAAACGTGACGTCACGCAATTAGTTCCCATTTGACCAATGCTATTCAAAGCTCTTTGTCGCTTCTGTATGGTGTATATTCTGTGGCACAGCTGATCATTAGTTGATGGCTTTAAACGAGCCAGGGTCGAACTCAGATACGTGTGAATCGTGACAGGAGCGTATTTCGTTTTTTAACAGTATTTATTTGAAAAAAGTAAGATTTAGTAGTGACAAAATAAATAATGTGTAAAAATAATACGAAAAATCATGCCAATTGATTCAAATGTTTAAAGCGTTATTTTACAAAAAAAAGTGTTCATTGAGTTGAGTCATTGTTTTGTATCTCGTTTTTCTAGAAATAAACATTAATATTTAATTTTCAAAGAGAATAATCACAAAAATAATTCGGACAAGGTGGGTTTTGTGGCAGTATGATACCGTATGATCGAGAAAGAACGGCGTCAGCGTTGGCTTTGAAATGAAGATCGCTGTCATTTTATATGTAAATTTATATGGGAAAGTCATCGATCGTCGTTTCCCAGCCAACTGGACGCCGTTTTTTTTTCGATCATACGGTATTATACCGTATGATCGAATAAAAACGGCCTCAGCGATGGCTATGAAATGAAGATCGCTGTCATTTTATATGGGAAATGTCATCGATTGTCATTTCATAGCCATCGCTGACGCCGTTTTTATTCGATCATACTGTACTTGTGTAAAGGGGCCTAGGAAAAAATGCAGGATTTGCAATAAGTAATAAGGATTTTGCTGCAGTAACCTAATTTGTAGTGAATTTTTTATAGGAATAAGCGACTTTTAACTGCAGTTTGGGACCCTGTTTATGTAAATTTCAGGGTCCCACTATAAGCTTGACGCTGTCATGATTTTATGATTCAGCAATTTTATTTTTTTTCAATACAAACCTTCATTTGAAAATGTAGACAGAATATAATAAAAACAATTTGACTGAAATAAAATAACATTTTATTTGTTATTATAAATATGTAAAAATTATACATATAATCCTAGCAATGTGATATTAGGTACAAAATCTAATACAATTACTTAAATGTAAATGATCCTAAAATTTATTAATACAAATGAAAAATTAAAAAAAAAGAATAGATAAATATATATCATCTAACTAAACTTACTTGCTAATTAAAAATATCTAAAAAAAAATCTGTATTTAAGAACCTATCGTATTTAGAAACATATCTATATAAAATAAAATCTGCTTCAACTTCTTTTAAAAAATACATAGTGTTGTATTTGAAATAACAAAGTTTTTATGTAAAGTAAATACTTAAAATAGACCAGCAATTTTTGATACCCCTCTATACATTTAAGGATGCAATACATTTTTTTAGTAAAGTTTATTTCTCTGGCTTCAAAGTCAGCACAAGAATTAACTCTTAAAAATTAATGTACAGGATGTTGACAAACTTTGTTATTATAACATGCATATTTAAATGTATTTAAATATCTCAAAAACCAAACCTTTTAAACATATTAAACCCTTATAATAAATACCTTATTTTATGTCCAAGAATCCCAAAGTGAAATAAAATACCGTGTGTTCCATAAGAAAAAATATAACTTTGGTATGGATCTTAGTCCTGACACACCCTGTACATTTTAAAATAATTTTAAATTAAGTACATTGTCTTTCCACATATACCCATAAAATATTTTGTTTCTATATCTTTACGTTTTCGTATAATCAACCAAGATGAATGAGGTGCGCCACCCTGTATTCAGCCTTGTGTTTATAAAATATTTTACTGACCTTCAGATGTAACTTCCTTGGATGTTGATGGAATAGCGATTACATCTGGTGAAGTAGATTCCGAAACAGCTGAAAACATAAAAAAATATTTATTGAAAATTGGAATTCTATACCCTATATCGGTATGGCAGTTCAGATTTATATTCAGCATTGTGTTTAAAAGGTAATAGTATTTTACTCACCTTCAGATGTAACTTCCTTGGATGTTGATGGAATAGCAATTACATCTGGTGAAGTAGATTCTGAAACCGCTGAAAACATAAAATAAAATATTTATTGAAAACTGGAATTCTATACCCTATTGCATTGTGTTTAAAAGGTTAAAAAAAATAGTATTTTACTCACCTTCAGATGTAATAGGAACAGCAGGAATAGTAGCTTCAACTTCCATCATGGAATTGTCTACAAAAATATATTTATTTAATTTTTTTGAGCATAACACAAACACAATTTTAAGAGGCAAAATTGAAAGCTAAATGTTATTGTCAAAAGTTTTTGTTTTTCAGTAATATAGTATTTGTCATAAAAATATTGAAAATATTACACAGAACCACCACGAACAGACTGAAACTGGATTTTCTAAATGCCTATCTATAAACTATTTTTGTTTATTTAAATGTTCGTTTGTGCAAGTGTATAAATCGATTGTGCAGATAAACAAGCAACTGATGATTTGAAAAAAATTACAAGTAAAATGAAAAACAATGCTTATGAACCCACCTGACATCAAAAAGTTGGAACAGCAAATTTCTTTAGACGGCTTTGAGACATTCCCGCAAACATGGTAGGTTGAAAGTGTTTTCCACAAACTCTATACCCTCTATGCAAATCTATAGGTGATTTTGCTCTAAAATCATGCCTGTTGCAGTTCTTAACCCACTCAGAACATCTAGAATTTATTAAAATATTTTTCGTTATTTAATAGATGATTGTACATACATGAGTCTGTCAAAAACTTTAGAATTTCTAAAAAATCTTACTAGATTGTTTAAAATTCTAGAGGAAACATTCCTTATTGTGTAGATAAAAAATATTTATGTACCTTTTTGGATCCAATGGGAATGAAAAGAAGCTAAGACCCATATCAGTCTCCGTATTGCTTAAACAGCCGGGAACACAGCAGTAACGAAGGCCCATTATAAACAAAATTGTCAAACAAATATAGTCACAAAATATCACAAACACACCACAAAGTAAATTAAAATTATTTTAATTTACTTTTCCGTTAATTTACTTTTCCGCCCGTTCATATGACATTCATATTTTTAGGTTAGAAATGTTGAGCAACGTTGTCAGTTGTCAGATTTTAACAAAGAAATTCCTGAATCTTTAATTACCATTGCAATAATAATTTTTTTATATTTAGCAGTAAAGCAAAATAGAGTGCAAAACTGACGATGCCCGTTGGTTTTATTTATTCTAAAATCAATTTCAATTGTTTTGGTTTAAATATTTCAATGATAATATTTTTTAACTTTTTTTGTGCAGAAAATGAGGTAAATTTTTGTTACATTTCGTACTACGTCGCAAAATGCTGCACTCAAGGGACGTTGCCATGCGCGTTTTTCGTAATAATAATGTTAATTTTTAGGCATATTTTAATTTTCCAAATATATCAAATTCCTCATAATTATGTATATTCGGTAATTCTTGTATACTTGCGTCACTTATTTCGTGAAAGAAATGCTAAATGAGTGAAGAAATGTGGCCGTGGGATTATAATATAAAAATAATTTTTCAAGTACTGAGAATTATGGGTTACCTTGGCAACCTCACAAAAACCTTGCGCATGGTTTTGTGCCGCCTGCGCGCATATAACATAAAAAATAAAATCTTGACAACGGAAATCCCATAAGTGAAATTTCTGATTTGTATCTGTTCTGTGGTATTACTAGCTTTGCCGCTATTGCTGGACAAGTGAAAATGACGGTGCTGCCAAAAAATTACTCAGAGGTTGCAGTGACCACTACCAGCCAAACAGCTCTAGAAGAGGCTAGACAAAGTAGTAGCGAGCGGATTGCAACGCAACGATCCACAAAATATGGGTGAGCTGCGTTTTGCGGGGTTACACTTTCGGGTGGGCATGCTCCTCATAGATTGTGCAACTCAAGAATCGGCGGATTGGTTGGTGGAAGCCGCACCTAAGCTTAAGAATTGGCAGGGGTCGGGACTGGTTACAGTAAAGGGAGAAAACATCCCAAAAGAGGCGACCATCACGGTCTTTCTACCGAGAGAGAATCAAAGGGAAACCCACCAGCTACCTGCTGAGCCTTATCCAAGGGGGACTCATGGGGACTCAAGGGAACCTGACCATGGAGTCCCATGGTTCCCACAATAGAAATTGACCGCAAATCCAAGGAGGCAATAGAGAAAGAGGGATATATCTTCTAGTATAGATTCGGAACAGCACCAGTATTAGGTCTAAGGAGACCAAGTTTAAGAGGTGGAGAAAATGGAAACAAATCCTCCAACCTCTATCTCAGGGGTACCTCAGCCGGAGACAAGCTCTTCGACTGTGAAGGGCACGGAGGGCCAACCTCAACCGTGGAAGGGTGTATACCATCAGAGGACAGATTTTAAAGTCTATAAGAGACCAGCAAGTAGACGACGAAAACAGATAACTGAGAAACGACTATACCCGCACTATTGTTAGTCGGTGCTTGGCAGTGGTCGCGCTATTAGAATTCAAAGGAGAAAATAAGTTCAAAAATCGATATCTTGAAATCCATTAAAAATAATGTAATTGATGTAGTTTTTTTCAAATTTGCTTAGTGTTTCTGCTATATTTTCTTCGCAGCTGGTATGTGAAAATCCTTACAAACAAAAAATGTTCGCGATTGCTTAAAATTGCCATGCACTGTAAATAAAGAGTTTTTTTTATTTTTTGAATGAACAAAACAATCCTACCAATGTTTTCTCATTTTTGGCGAAGATCCAAACTTCAAAACAAAAAAAGAAAGTTTCAATATCTAAAGTGGTTCTTGAGTTATCACGTGTTACTGACGTTTTTTCATTATAAATAAACTGGATACCCTAACAATGTTGTTATAACACCGTCGCACTTTTCTCTCTCCAACTTAATAAGATCCCATAAAGATTCACTTCCACACAAGTAAATACCGACCCAAGAACGAGGCTAGCCGACCCGGTATATAAAGAAAGTATTTTTTTTTACTCACTTAAACTCAGGTCCAAATAATGCATCTAAGGTAGGTCCAAAAGTACGATGTAAGGTATGATTAATAACTGGACTTTGAAGATTTTGACCTACAGCATCTAACAAAGGATGGAATACATGTGGTTCCTAAAGAAATAGATAATATGAAGTTTTAACATAATTTAAATCAACATTTAAAATGTTAATACTTACTCTAAATGGTAAGTGTGGCGCTGAAGTAGCATTAACAGAACCATCACCTCTCTTAAAGTCGATTTTTTCCAAGACTATTTCACATTTAATTAATGTATCCAGGGGCATTCTTTGTTGTGGATTGGAAAGAATTTCTAGTAATTTCTTCATTTTGCTCATTTTCTCGACATCTAAAAATAAGATGCTTCACTTAACATCAAAACAAAATTATTTTACAAACTCACCATCATTGCCCATTTTAGCAATCATTTTTCTTAATGGTTCAATATATTTGCTGAGTTGCCTAACCTATAAAAAAACAATTTAAAATAAAAAAATGTTACTTTGATTTAATTCAATTGGCAATTATGTTATAGTACCTAATATGACAGTTTTTAATTTTTACCCTTTAAATAATACAAAAAAAAACAAAGCTAGCCTGTCGAACGAGTAAATATTTAGACAGATGACATCCAAAAAATGACTTAAAATATAATTTACCTGTGAATTAAAATGACAGAGAATACAACAAATGTGACTGTCATTGACCCTCTTGGGAGAGACTTTAATACACTCTTACGCTTATAAATATTTTCATAAATATCTTAAGACATTTTATATGGTTATTATTTTAAAGACTAAATGATATGGCAATTATTACCTTTTCTCTATAAGCCTGTTCATCAGTCATTGGTCCGCCAGCACCCATAGGACTTTGACCTGGCTGACCTGGTGTGTTTAGAGAACCTCCAGGACTGGGGGCCATACTAGGAGGCCTAGGGCCACCCATCATCCCCATGGGCGTGCCTGGACTAGGTACTAATGCTGGTGACGCACTAGGTTGTTGAGACATACCTAAAGAAAAATTAGTCTCATAATTATAAACTATTACATCAAGTAACTTCTAGTTTCAAATTATAATGCTGAAGGACATACCGCTACTAGCTGGAGATTGTGCTGACTGCTGTAGAGGTGACTGAACAAAAATTTGATTTGGCCCTGGTTGTCTCACATATCCTCCACCACCCATCATAGGTGGATTCAATAACATCGCGTTGGGTGGATTTGGTTGCCTAGGTTGTTGTATTTGTTGAATGGGACCTCCTATTTAGTAAATTTAAACTATATTTCTATCTCTAAATTTAACAGCGAAGAACAATAAGTTGACCTACCCATCATCTGGTTACCCATTGGTCCTTGCATGGATCCTGGACCCATTTGCATACCGCCGGGTCCCATTTGACCTGGACCCATTTGACCTTGAGAAACGACTGCGCCTTGCATCTAACATAATAAGCATTGTAGATAAAGCTTTTTTTATAAGAATTATAAATAGTACCTGCATCTGGCCACCCATTTGCCCGCCCATTTGGCCACCAATTTGTCCCTGAAGTTGCATAGGTATTTGCCCAGGCATCTGATTTCCTCCTGCTATGCCCATGGACTGCATATGAGGGACCTGTATTTTCATAAAGTTTTATTAAATGTTACTTTGGAACAATTTAATAAAATACATATTTTAATATGATCTAGCATTTGTAAGATTCTGTTGTAACCCAATATATTATATTGGGTCGCAAAAGTAATATGCTGCCAATAACAACAAGAGAGTGTAAAAAAATAGAGTGGATACGACAAAAGACCCAGGTTATAGATGTCTTCCGCAGAATCAAATTCCTCAAGTGACAATAGGCGGGACACATGACAAGAAGGACCGACAACAGATGGACCACAAAAATTATAGCATGGTACCCACGAGAAATTAAGAGACTTAGAAGAAGACCGACTCTAAGATGGGAGCATGATATTAGGGAATTAGCAGGGATAACATGGGCCCAATTACAAAGAAATTATCTAAATATGTGAGGAAAGCTACACCATAATTGGAAATGGTTGAAAAGATGAAAATTATGATTTTAGCAAAGACAAAGTATTATCTGACCTGCATAGACATATTTCCTGGCATCATAATCGGTTGACCGCCTGGACCGCGGTTTAACGTTTGTAGCAAATTAGCAGCTCCCTGTCCAGGCCCGCCCATGGAACCTGGTTGTGGAGGTCCCCCCATATTAACCATGGCGTTTCGACTACCTGCAACATAAATATATTTTTAGTTACTAAGATATCTAATAATAATAATTAATTAATCATTGAATAATAAACTAGAGGAGTATATCAACAAAGTTAGCAAGAGCGCGAAAGTATTTTAAGATGGCTTTACTTTAAAAATTTTAAAAAATATCGTTTGGTTAACTTTTTAGACCTACTAGATTTTCTCTGTGTTTTTGTTAATCTGTAAATTTAATCTACTACCTATGTTGCCATATTATCAAAATATTATGTTTTTTAACGGACAATTGTTTTTTTTTTAAAAGTACAAATTACTAAATTACAAACAACAAATACAATACAACAAAAAAAACATTACAAGACTCAAATAAATCTCACTATAATTTGTCCTGAGACAATGCTTTTCCAGATTTATACACTTTACATAAAACTAGCGATTATAAACTAAACAAGAAACAATAAAAAATAATTACAGAAACGCACAGCTCGCGTACTTCAAACTTGATATCTTAAAATTAAAAAAAAATTTGCTAAAACTTAAGCTTCCGTTTGTATTGTATGAATAAAAATGTGGTATTTGATTCTCCCGCTAGTTCTTCTATTCAATGTTATTTATCATATTATTATTTTAACACAGTGATAAAGGCCATAAGCGTGTTGCAAACAAAAACAAATAAAGGATAATTTCATAATGAAAACAATACATTGCTCACCTACCTGAAATAAATTATATAAATTATCTTGTTACAAATCAGGTTCTAAATAAATTACAATATCTAATTTACCCATATTAAACAAAATGCAAAACATTTTTTTTGAGATATTAAGCAGGTGAAAAACAACATATGCAAAGATCATTTGTAAAATAAGAATAAATATGGTCTAACAGTAAACATCTAAATCTCTATTATAACACTGACAATGTATACATAATCAAAATGCTTTCTGAATTATTTTATGTAAAATTGGTAGTAGGTTATAAAATAATAGTATACAATAATTAAATCGTGGCTATCGCTTCTTTAATTTTAATACACATAACAAATAAAAATTAAAAACAAACAGAAAATAATCATGTACCGTTTGAAACTTTTTGGTTTTATCTACTTTTAGTAGATAAAACAATTTTACAATTACTTTTTGCAAACGCAATTACAGACATAACTATTAGCTAAAATAGCTGATGATAACATGAACATTGTGATTTTGGTTCACTTTATATAAGCAAATAGTAATATCTTTGTAAGAAAACGCCGAATAAAAAAATATTTTTATATCCTGTACCACAAAGATTACCATATACAGGGTATCCCAGGCTGAGCGTGCATTAGAAGTTTCTAGAGAACTACAACATCCAACTCGGAGATTTTTTGCACATCATAGTTTCACAACGAAATCTATTGATTAAAAATATTTTCAATATGGCGGCACTTCCGGAAATACCGGAAGTTGACAGCAACTTTCTTATTTTAAATGGGTGCCCCCATATTTTATTACATACTTATATTCTCTGTAATTTTTTTTAAATTTTGATATTAAACACTCTATATCTAACATTGACCGTTTTTGGGGAAAAAATATTTAAAATTTTTGAACAAAAAAAATTGCCTGTCAATAGCCTAAACGTCAAATTTAGTGATTACCACAGCCACTGTGCTATAGTCTATAAAATGAATAACTTTGAATTTTGACCGTTATTTTTTACCAACATGGCAAATATAAAATCCCTCTGTCAAAAAAGTTACTGATATTCTTTAAATTGAGTGCCTGAACGAATCGGATAGGTAACTCTTTTTACTTTCGTGAAATAGAAAAGGAAAATAATAAAACAAGTGACAGTTCTTCCTCTTCTTGCAAAAATCAACACGAAATGTCATAATTGACAAAAGTAAAACGTCATCAGCTTTTGACATTTCTAAATATTAGACCAATGCCGTCTCTAATAGAGCAGCCACGGAGCGAGATTTATGACGTCACGCTAGTTAGATACTACGGATTAATAAATATGTTGTAGAATACATGGAAAACATAATTATTCCTCATATTTTTGGTTTGTATTTTAAAAATGATATAGTTTACATGAAATATATATAATACACAGTTAATAAATACAATATAATATATACCTATTTATTGTAATAAATACTTTGGCAAATAAAACTATGAACCATACAAATGCAGCAAATGTTTTAAAATATACAAATAATGAATAGGTAGTACATAAGATAATGGGTAAAATGTAAAATATATTTTAAATTTTGGGGTTTGAAAATCGATCTAATTTAACAAAAAACATTCAATATTTACTAATAGTGATGTATTATTATTTGCATTCACAAAATTTATTTATATAGTATAATGTTTACTGCAATTAATAAACTAATATAAACTTGTCAAAAGATGACCACATATTTTATTAAATTATTATTCTTAACACAAAAACTATATACATTGACTATGGAGTACGATTTCAGCCATATTGTAAAACATTTGCTGCATTTGTATGGTTCATAGTTTATCTGCCAAAGTATTTATTACTATAAATACGTAAATATATTGTATTTATTAACTGTATATTATGTATATTTCATGTAAACTATATCATTATTAAAATACAAACCAAAAATACGAGGAATAATTATGTTTTCCATGTATTCTACAACATATTTATTACTCCGTAGTACCTAACTAGCGTGACGTCATAAATCTCGCTCTGAGGCTGTTCTATTAGAGACGGCATTGCGTCAGCATGACCGCAAGTTGCTAACCTAATAAAATTAACACTAGAAAAGCCCGCGGGAACTGTCAAATTCAAAGTTATTCGTTTTACAGACTATATAAAGAGAAAACATGTGGCTATCAATTTCAAAAATGAAATTGTTCGAATGTCATATAATAACGATCGCAGCTATCATAGAATTGAGCCATTAAAAAATTATCATGAATCATTTTTTTCAAATGGAAACCCACTTTTTTATTTCACTAGTGAAAAGGCTTTTCCATTCGTTAGTTTTTGTCTGTATATGTTCCTATACCTAAAATAAATCGTTAAGTCATTTAAGATTTAGTTTTAAAGCGTATATTTTTCTTGATTTTAACCAGTAGCCTATGACTTTAAACGTCAAGGGATGTAAAACAATAGATCTGGCCATGTCATACGTTTTGTTCAAAAAGCAGCATCATTTCCGAGCCAACTTTGCACTGTTTTTTTTTCGATTATACGGAATATTATTAATCATATCAACTATTAGATATCACTAAAGAGCGAAAATAGGAAAATAGAGATATATGTATTTTTATAAATACACTTTGAAAAGACCTTTTCATTAGTGAAATAAAAAAAGTGGGTTTCCATTTGAAAAAAATGATTTATGATAATTTTTTAATTGTTCAATTCCATAACAGCTATCGCCATTATTATATGACATTTGAACAATTAATTTTGGAAATAGATAGCCACATGTTTTCTCTTTATGTTACAGTGGCTGTGGTAATTACTAAATTTGAATTTTAGGCTGTACAAATTTTTTTGATAGGTAGTTTTTTTGTCCAAAAATTTTAAATATTTTTTTCTCTCAAAAACGGTTAATGTTAGGTATAGTGTGTTTAACATCAATATTCATAGAATTTAAGTATGTAATAAAAAATGGAGGCACCCATTTAAAATAAGAAAGTTTCTGTCAACCTCGGGTATTTCCTTATTATAGTGCCGCCATATTGAAAATATTTTTAATCGATAGATCTCGTTGTAAAACAATGATGTGCAAAAAAACTCCGATCTAAATATTGTAGTTCTCTAGAAACTTCTAATGCACGCTCAGCCTGGGACACCCTGTATACACCTTGAACCACAAAGTATACACATTAAAACAACACAGCAACAAATTTAAACACTTAAAAAAGAAACAAACAAAGAATATAGACCTTCATATAGAGTTTTTGAGATCTGCAGAAAAAATGCTTGAAGTATTCATAAATATATGTATATATATATATATATATATATATATATATATATATATATATATATATATATATATATATATATATATATATATATATATATATTTTTTTTTTGTTTTCACTCTTGGCTTGTAGGTCGTTGGGGTTGCAAAAATGTTTCTAGATTTTGTTCATTATTTTTTTATTTTGTGACGACGTGTCGACAGTATATGTCTTTTTCAAGCCTCTTGAACGTAGATTCTTACAGAGTTAAAATTTGTTAAACTGGACAACAAATTTGTTAAACTTGGACCAAGAGGAGACAACCTCACCAAAAACCTAAATCCTACGATGGCGGGGCCAGGTCAAAGAGATGCGTGGCTAGATAGAGGACTAGCCATTACTGGTCTCAACCTTGGGGCATCAGGGGGCACCCCATTGTATTTACCCCTTACTTCTACATGCGGGGCTCTGTAGAAGTGGACTGACTATCCCTAGCGACTCGTGGGAACACTATGAGCAGTAATAAAAATAAAAACACCAACACCACCGGAGAAGCTGTGGGGAAACCCCCTAGCGACACTGGGAACAGGAACAATGAAAGTTCCAAGGGTCAAACCCCCAAAGAAAACTACAGGAGAGGTGGCTGACACTTGCGCGGGACCGTCCTGCGCTAGTGGCACTCAAGCTACCACCTCCTTTAGCAAGGGTCGGGAGCTTACCTCTAAACCCAACATCCTTTTTCCTCCCCCCATGCATGGGGGATATCCCAAATAAACCTTCACCATGCAAAAGGGTCTCCGCTACAATAGCAAGACTCTTTGAGAAAAATCATTATGCAATGGTACTAGCCCAGGAACCCTGGGTGTATCAGGGACAAATTAGAGGTTTGTCAGGAAAAAATTCAAAGGTAATATATGATAACAGGCAGGAATTTCCCTGAGCCTGTATTCTTATAAGAAAGGACATTAACTACACATGTGTTTCAGAATTTACAACCCCAGATCTTGTTCCTATCATGGTTCAGCTTAATATCGAGGATTGCAGTAAAAACATCGTGATTGCCTCTGCTTACTTTC